TAAGGTGTGCGTACTTGCAGAGAGGGAAGGAGGCTCTAGGTGTGGAAGGAGAAAACCTCTACAATGAACGCGTGGGCTGCAAGAGGACAGAGCTCTCTCTCTGGCCATGGTGATGGCAGTAAAAGTACATAATGGACTAAGAGGGGTCAAAACTCAGGACTTGCCAAGCAGTATAAAATACAGATAGGGTTTGAGGTTATTAATATGTTTTGAATGTTTGGGATAGATGGTGTTCTACAACTCAGTTGTTTGGGGTTTTTTTTAAGTTCACATTTCAGTTATTTAAATTTTTTGGGGGAACTTTAAAGGTAAATTCAGAGCAGAGCCAATGCCTAGTATGGAAGAAATCAACAATTACAAGTGACTGATAAGGTTTTAACAGAACTCTTTGGTCTTGTTAATGCCACATTCAATTTAAATCTCTCCTTTAAGGGTTAGTAGATAATTTTTAAAGTATGAGTCCTCATGCCTTTCATTTGAGTTTGTCCATAGCTGAGCAGTGCTCAGGGAAGCTGGTGACCTCTGTCGAGTGGGGGGCTTGCCCTCATTTCTCCATGTTTGTCTCTTAGTAAAAGTTTGTCTTTTACTGTCTGCTGTAGTTTTTGTTGACTGTAGAAAAAATTCACTACATACATTTCCATTAAGGCTGGAAAAGACCTCCAAGATCAAGTTCTACCTTTGAACCTTAGAAACTTTCTTGTCAAAACTTGATGAAAAGTGGTGTCACAGTGTTACCCAGGCTGAAGAATCACACTGCTTTTAATGCACTGAAGTTTGTATGTTATGTTCCTAAGTTACTTGTGGAGTTAGACTAGTGTTTTTTCCATTAGTATTTAAAGGAATACCTTTTCCCTTCACTGAATATTTCTTTCACCTTCATGAGCAGTGATATTCACTAAACATTGTTACAGCTAACATAGTTTCCACTGCTTTTGTATCGAAGTAGCATGCAAACAGGAAAGCCTGGTTGATGTTCATAGCTGTGTGGTAAAAGCAGCAGAGAATCAGCTCAGGAAAGGTAGCAATGCAAGGTCTTGACCAGCAGTGCTTGTGTAAGTGGTATAGGATCTTGTCATGTTGGTATTCTACATCTCCAAATGTCTTGTACTTCAACTTGGAAGAAAAAGAAAAATTTAATAACTGTTTAAAAACCAGGATTTAACTAGGCATATACCTTAAAATAGGTCTAAATATTATTTGAAGATAATAACTAATAATAACCTTAATGCTTTTTAATAAATTCATAAACAGAAAAACTGACACAACAAATGGGAGCAGTTTGAATCCCAGGTGTTGGCTGAGCAGCTCGTACATTATGACTTACTACTAAATTTTTTTAATATTAATTGTAAAGACATTGGAACAAAAGTTTTGTTTTGAAGGAGTAGTACTAACTATAAGTTAGTAAGAAAAAGCTGTATAAGTAAATGTCAGGTAGTAAACTGAGTATATACCTGTATTTTAACATGCTAGCATTCTCTAAAAGGTGATTGCTGGCATTAACTCTGAAATGAAAATTTCTGTCTCTAGTGTTTAGCTTTGCTCAAATTTAGTTAACAATAGGACTGAAATTGTGAGGACATTTTCATTTTTTTTCTCTTTATGCTGCATTGAGACAATCTCTATCTGTAATTGAAGTCAAGATGAAGTAAAGTAGGTGGGCTCTGCAGAAGGCAAATGCAGTGTGACTAAACACGACATCGTACCAATTAGGTCTAAATCCTGTTTCTACCAGAAGGTCTCCAGTACCATCTTCTGATTTGGTGCTCTTCCTCAGTTTGTCAGAGAACTATTTAATAAGCAAGTGTCTGTTAACAGTAACTGGAACTGCAAAGCTGGTATTAAAGAAGATAATAATGGTGTAAAGGAAAAGCCTGTAGAACTGCAGTCATGTTTTTCTCTTTTTATTTTTCTACATGACTTAAACCAAAGTTTAATAGCACTGTATCTTATTTTTCACAACAAAATATTTTCATGTTAATTTCCTGCTTCTAACTGAAAGCTTTATGTAACAGTCACTAAATCTCAGCACCTGAATCTCCAAAATATGTCATTCTGTAGTGTACTTTTGTTTCAGACCATGGTTAGAGATCTTGCTCTGTATTCAATGTTGTCTTATTTTTCTTGTCAGTGCAAAATGTTTTCAAGGGGGAATAAACATTTAGAGTGTATTGGTAGCAAGGCCATGGCTCTTACATAAAACAAAGAGTTAACCTTGCTGTTCATGCATTAACTAAAGAATATAAAAGTTTTATTTTTCTCATTCTTGGTTTCTGTTTGCACATGATAATATATGCTTAATGGAATGGTCAGACTCCGATGTATGAAAAAAAAACCAAAAATGACATTTTCATTTAGTGGTAGATGTGTATTTGTTTCTTTAAGCTTGTTTATCCGGGTGATAAGCTGATCTATCTTACCATTTGGATATATATTATAGACCTTTAAAAATATGGACAGATCTAAAAAAAATAGGGTAAAAAATTCAGCTATCCATTAAGTTTCTTGAAGAAAGGGAAAAATGAAAGTAATAAAAATTCCCACCAATATAATTTAATGTAAGTAAATTATTGAGCATGTTATTTTTATACAAAGATATATTTTAATCATAGATGTCATTCTATTCCTCAGTTAAATATTGTGACGGAGGAAAAATATTATGACTGAGACAAAACCACTGTATTGCAACAATTAGAACATCACTTCTCAATCTTCTTTATAAAACCCCCCACCCAAAGCATCTAAGGAACCCACCCCAACAAAAAAACAAAATAAAAAAAAAAACAAAACCAAACAAAAAACCACAAAAAAAACCACAAAACCAACCCCCAAAACAAAACCAAAAAAACCAAACCTAACCCACCAAAAACTCCACCTCCCAAACTCCAGAGTTTTATATCCTCAGCTGGTATAAATCACCACAGCATCTTTGGAATCACACAGACACAGCTGGCTGCTGAGAATTCAGCCCTGGAGATGTAGTGCATGGCAGTAGTCTGACATAGGACAGGTGTGGCCACAGAGAGTTCAAATGACTCCAGCAGAGCAGGTTCAGACAAGTGCATTTCAGTCGACCCAGCATATTTCAAATGCTGTGCTGGTTATGTGGATTAAACTTCTGATGACATTTTTCATAACAAGAATAGCAGAAACAACAGGAATTTTGAAAATAAAGATACAGTATTTAAATAGATAAAAAAATTTAACACTACTAGGTAGACGTGTTAAATAAACACTGTCTGTAGGTTTATAATAAATTAAAAATAACCTTTGAGTTTGAGTCTGAAGTATTTAGAAAGAAGTGATATAATTCAGCATCTGGATCTGTAGAGCTACTGGAGTGTATTTCAAAGTCTGTACTTTGAAACTAAACCTTGAACATAAATTATACAGTGATTTATGAAAAATTATAAATTGATAGTAAGTAACTATGTTGTATCATAGTCAGTGAAGTGTTGATAGACTAGGTAAATAGAATGTGTTGTTTGTTCATTTTCTGTGGAAGTATTTTAGCATATGCAGGGCATAATTTCATGCTGGCATCTGTTAATGGACAAGTAATAAATCAGGCCACAGAACTCATTAAAAATATGAAAAAAAATGAAGCTGTAGTTTCAATAAAAATGATAAAGTGCTTTAAATGATGATTTGTTGTTTACTGCATTGTTTCTCATGTCATGGTAGATATCAAAACCAACCCAATGAAATACAATAGTGCTCTAGAGTAACTAAAACTGAGTCTGGTTCTCAGTAGTCTGGTTCTCTGGTAGTCAATATTTCAATGTATTTTCTGGTCTTGATGTTAGACTTAGTTTACTGTGAGATCAGAAGAGAAGCTTGTAGTACAGGCTGAATTTGCACAGACATAAAGGTCACCGTAAATAATCTCTAATCTTGAAATTTTCATTTGCAGCAATGCGGATATAAGAAGAAGGAAGAAAAAGATCAAGCTGGAAACAGTTCAGATCCCGTGTGTGTGGCCAGTGGGCCTGCAATACACTGTTCAGATTCGTAAGTCAGAAGAGGGTTGCTGGAAATGTATAGAAATATGAGAATTTATTCCAAGTTCAGTGAGTGAAAGCTGCTATAATACGGATGCTTCTTCCATGGCTTCAATCCACCTAAAAAGTGAGGAAAGAAAAACGGTACATATAAATTTTTTTTTGCATTTTAAGAGAAATAAGTATTTTAAGGACATAAAGCCTGAAGAACACTGGGTTTTTCATCCCAGCTCTAATGAGGAGCAATAGCTCTGTGATTAAAGTAGTGAGCTGGGTACTGGGACTCTTGCTTTCTAGTACAATCTTGACCAGTAATTTATTGTAAAATCTCAAAGATAGTGCAACTGCTTTCTTAGAATAGGAAAGACGAATCTGATGAAGTATGATTTAAAGCAACAAAACCTTCTGTAAAGATAATTTTTTTATCTGTTTGTCTTGGGGTGCTGGATTTTTAATACAAATTTTGTGACTGTCTTATTATGGTGAAAGCAGTAACATTAGAACAGGAAATCCAAACAATTATTTGTTGATGAAGAAACTAAGAAATGGGTAAATTGAACATATGAATTAGAAGTTTCTCTACTGTAATCACCTTTGACAGACTTCTAGCTATGACTCTTGAGGCTCAGTCTCTTTACCTACGGAAGGGAGAAAATTCTCCTTCCTGAAGGAACTGAAAAGCACCAGGTATATTTTAAGTGTTAGTCAGGCCAGTCACGTACAGTCCGTCTTAATCAAAATTTTGAAAGCTGTTTGTTTAATCTGTTATGAAGATGTTCTCAAGTGAAGGAGGGGAAAATCCCTACATAAGCTCACTGGCTAATGTGGAAGTCTATCCCCATACCTGTGTGCTGAATTGTTATCCTCTGCTCGGAAGCTATAAAAGAGCGTTTGCTTGTGGTAGAGATGAAAAACTGTATCCACACTTCCTTCCTCCTTTTCTGGGGTGATGGTGAAACCCAACAAAGGCAAACTTTCTGTAGCAACTTTGTCCTGAGACCAAAGAAGAAGTGAACCAAAATTTAGAGAGAAGGCTTGTAACAGTTTGAGGGCTCTTTCTGAAAAGCATATGATACAACAACCCCTCTTGTGACAGTTCTGCAAAAGCAGTAGTGTGAATGTTCTGCTGGACACATGGCTTTTAACCCAAACAGGAGCAGTGCCTGTGTACTGCAATGTTTCATCTAGTCTGAGTCTTGAACACCACCTCTCAAAGCTCAGTTCTTCATAAGCATCCACATGGCCATGAAGGTCAAATTAGCCATTACTTTGATGGCTGTCTTTGGCATTATGGTCCAGGAGGCAAACTTGAGATTACTGAGAGTACAGCAGCAGTTCTGAAAGCCTGAGACTCTCTTCCAGTTATGTTCCTTTCAATCATTTTATTTGCTGGCTGCAAGTAGTATTCCTTTTGGTACCTTGTAATTTCTTTTCACAGTACTAGTGACTTTTTTAGAAATTTGCTTTTCTCAAGCAGCACACACGCTTTCCAAAAGACTGCTTGGAAATTTCCTAGTTAGTAATGCAATTAAGCATTCATTTACTCCCAGGAAACTTCCATGAATTTTGCTTGGCTGACACAGATTTGTACAAGTTGAAGAAAACCATAAGCTTTAACAAAATTTCAGTTTATCTGTTACTGATAGCTGCAGTTTTGGTAATTGTATTTAGGTAGTTTATATGTATATATTGCCTTTGTCTCTGCTTTAAGAAGTTAAATTGCAGACTAGGAATGTAAAATAAACCATTGTTGTTTTTGCCTATTGCTGAACCAGAAATAATCACTTTTAAGGTTAAAAGAGATACGGTAATTGTGTTGGATACAGTTTGATGCTAATGGTCTGAACTGCTGGCCAAACCATGAATCCTTTTGTGACTCAATCTCCTCATCTGTTGCTTCGTGTAACCATCACAGGGGTGATGGTGATGCAAGTTTAAATATCTGATGTTTGCAGAGTATTCTAAAGGCTTTAAAAGTACCAAGCATTGCTTTGACAGATTTTTGCATTCTGTATCCTTTATTTGAGCAAAATGAATGTTTATGTTTTTGCTTATGAAATCTCTCCATTATAACCAAAATTTCTATCACACTTCAAGTTTATCTTTATTAAAGCTATTATAAAATAAGAAAAGGGATAAAATACATAAAAAGGATCTAGTTGATACCCGGCCTCCTTGACTGTAAGGAGGAAGAACTTACAGGTGAAAACAGCAGACATTGTTCTAACTTCTGCACACTGCCTCCTGTCTTTCCCTGTTGGTGCTAGTTGGATAAGCATGTCCTATTTATACTTGCCAAACTACAAGGTTCTCCTCTCCACCAGAAATGGATCATAGTACTCTACATCTACAAAAGTATGTGCTAGTTGCAGAGTGCACCAGAGAACACCAAAGGATCTTGAAGTCTTTAGGTGTTAAGGTATGTATGTTAAGGTTCTCAGTGGTTGACCATTTATAGCAGTATGAATAGTAAGAAATCAAATAATGAAGGGCAGCATGTGAGGGTTGCCAAGGTCCAGCTAGTACTGTGGCTGAGCCAGTCTGTTGGGACCAAGTCTCAGAAGCAGGTAGTTGTAAGAACTACCATTTATACCTTTCCCATTGACTGATTTTCTGCCTGTATGGAGAAAGGAGTCTCAGAAAACTATTTCAAGTCAGATTTCACAGTACCTCATTTGCTATGTAGGTGTAGAGGACTTTGCCTTTGATAACAAACCAGCGTTTCTTCCAGTGTCTTTTGCCTCCCTTACATCTGTTGAGGTAACCACTGATGGTAGCTCCCTCTCCTGAGGCTGCCACCTGGAGCAGAGTAGGAGAAATTAGCATTTGTAATAGTACAGGCTTTTCCCCTCCTGATTATGCATGTTTGCATCAGACCAACCACTAAGTGAAACCACTGAAGTATTGATAAAGAAAAAAATATAAGCATGATGATGATTATTGTTCATATTAACTGTTCGAATATATATAGTTAAACTTAATTCTCAGTAACTCTAAAGGAAATTATGCAGCTGAATTATTGTTGAGGTTAGTAAATTTACAGTTGTGTTCTGAAAAGCCAAACTCATCCCTTTTCCCACATCTGGTGGTTTCTGATGCTTTGTGTGTTTTAGAAGTACATAGATCCAGAACTGAATTACAGTCTTGTGGCTGACCAGTTTTGAGATGTGGGTATGTTTAGGGCCTCATTGTGTTTTTTTATTAATTTACGTTAATCATTTTGATAATGACTTGGTTTGAAATAATTATTTCAAATTATTTTTGAAATAATATTTCTGAGAAGACTTGCTCCTCTCATAGAAATATTTTGAGGTCTAAGTGCTTAATGTTCTTAAAAATTCAGGTTTTGAGTAGATGGAACTATACATATGTACACATAGAATGTAGTGTACATCATTAGTTACTGTAATAATAAAACTGTAAACTGTAGTAGTACTGGATTTGGAAACAAAGGGCAGAGATTCAAAACCAGCTTTTGTAATACTAATACAAGAGATGACTGAGAATTAATATACAGTGCTTTGCAGGAGAACAGAAATGTTCCAGGACCTGGAGCAACGCTCTTGTGAAATAGTTCATGTTAATAAAGATGTGCTGCTTCCCTGTGACAGAAAGGTGATGGTTTTTTCCTCATGGGGTTGAAATTTTACCTGCTAGCCCTTTTAGTACTTAATTCGTGTGTTTGTATTACAGGCTTTTATCTTTGGCACAGTTCCATGATCAAACCTCAAGAAATTCCAGTGTCTCGAATGTATGAGTTCAGCAAGATGTTTGCACCCTAGTCTCTTTAATACAATGATAAATGCCTGCAGGAAATGGGAGTACCTTACTGTACTTAAGTTCAGTGGGCAGTTTAGCTAGCTCAAATGAATCATCAACATGATTGGCATCCTGCTTCTGGAAAGAAAACTAATATAATTGGAGGAATCATGGCACCATTGAAATCAGTGGGAATTCTGTTTACATTGGTGAAATCAAGATTTTACCCATTTGATTTGAAATAGTTTTGTTTGAGCTGGAGGGAAAGTGCCTGGCGAAACATGTATGCTCTTGAATTAAGAGCTGCCAAGGACTATTCACTAAGCAAGTGTTATTTTATTTCTCTTGAAATCTTTACTTCTCTTGAAATCAAAGTAAGATTTCAGAAGTAAGGGTCTGTCAGGGAAGGTAACTGATGAACAATATATCATGCTCTATTGATTTGTGCTCTTGTTCTATCTAGTACCTTGAAAGCGTTTTATGAAGTTTTTCAAAACTTCATAGGCTAATGAGCAAATTAAAAAACTGTAACTACTAGATTTCTCAGTGGGCTCAAGACACTTCTGTAGTATCTTTAGAGCTCAGAGAATTTTTGTATTTTAAACACTACCATGAAAAGCAAAAAAAAATAATTGCATGATGAAAGTAAACCAAGGCATATGCTGAGCCCACTGCACAGAGTATTAATTGAAAATGTAGCAGCTGAAATATGAGCACACAGTTTTCAATAGCTCCTTGCGTTTCTCAGGCAGCTTGGTCTTACCTCCATGAGAGCTGAAGGGATTCTCTTCTGTTTCTTAAAAGATGAATAATGAATGCTGTGGAAAACAGAGGAGAAGGCACTGCTTGAACACCTGGATGAAGTTGGAGGGAAGCTCACACTTAGTGGACGCTCTGCAAGATTAAGAAAATTAAGAAAGGGAAGGAGGAAATGGATAAATTGGTATATATCAGGCATGGGAAAACACATGATGACTATGGAAATGCAATGCCTCCTCTATACACAGTTTTTATTTTAGCCTTCTTTCAAATCACCTTTTAAAGTCTGATAAGTAGGTTCCATGGCCCCCTCAGTTAATGGTACTAACCTAAAATTTCTTGACAAGGCCTGCAAGAAAGCTGACAAAGCACAAAACACAGCTTGTTGTCTTATTTAAAATGAGCATTAAGCAAATGGCTTTGACATCTTTTTCCTCTATATTCTGTAACACTTTTCCAGGATAGATTCAGTAATGCAACATTCTCATCCATGCTACAACGTGGATGACGACAGTAAAGAACCATAAAGATGTTGTTTTATTTTAATGGAAAATTAATTTTAAATTATTTTAAAAATTAAAAATGAAAAATATAGTTATCACCTATAATTACATCACAGAATAAAATAGTTCAATTAGAAGGAAACTACAACAATCTAGTCCAACTGCTTGACCAATTAAGGGTTGCCCAAACATTAAAACATGTTATTAAGGGCATTGTTTAAATGTCTCTTAAACACTGAGAGGCATGGGTATAGACCACCTCTCTAGAAAACCTGTTCCAGTGTTTGGCCACCCTCTGGGAAAAGAAAGGTTTCCTCAAGTTGACTCAGAACCTTCCTTGCTGAACCTTTCTCATGTGTCTTGTCACTAGATCAGAGGGAGAAGAGATCAGTGCCACTGTTTCCACGTCCCTTCCTCAGGAAGCTGCAGAGAGCAATGAGATCACCTTTCAGTCTCCTTATCTTCAAAGGAGGCGAACTCAGAGTCCTCAGCTGCTTCTCATAGGACACTGTTTTTATCATTATTCTGTTTTATCCAAAGGCCAGGGAAGCTCTCAGAGAACCTGGCTTATAATCATAGAATCCCAGAACAGTCTGAGTTGGAAGAGACCTTAAATCTCATCTTGTGCCAAGCCCTGCCATGGGCAGGGATGCCTTTCACTAGACCAGGTGGTTCCAAGCTCCATCCAACCTGGCCTGGAATTCTTCCAGGGATAAGGCAGCTGCAGCTTCTCTGGGAAACCTGTGCCAGGGCCTCATCACCCTCTGAGCAAAGAATTTCTTCTATCTATCTACCCTAAGTTGCCCCCATTCCAGTTGGAAAAAACAGTTTGCTAAACTTGATTTTATAGCTCGCTAAACAGTTTTAGCTGCCATACAGCCTGGCTCTCCAAGAACCTCAACAAATATGCCTCACACTTGAAATGAGGAATACTATTTAACAAAACACCGTATAGAAGGCAGGTCCTGAATCCTCCCCACTATATAAGCAGGAAATTGGTTTGTCAGTTTTGCCAAGAATGAAATAATCTTACCCCTTTTCTTAAGTTCTGCATAGCAGCTATCACAGACTTTGGCTGCTTGGTCTTTGAGGTACTTCATGGGGTACTTGTTTCTTGAACAATTTCGACATACAATCTGTTTCAGCAAAAAGAGAGCAATATAAGAGACATAAATTTAATATGAATGTGAAAAACTAGGTTCACATTTTTTAATATAAAATTTGAAAATTTAATAGAAAGACAATTAGGCGATTAGAAATAAAGCAAAATGTACAAATACGGCCGAGTGCCTCAGCATTCAGCCAAGAGAGCACACCTTACTAACAAAGGATTGTCCATTAAAAACAGAACCCTATTACATATTCATAAATTCTCATACATGACTCAAACATTCCTCTTAATTTTTAGGTGTTCCTTTGTTTAGCTTCCACTCCCCCCTCCCCAACAGGTCAATTTTGGCTCTGTTGAGTCTCACACTCCTTGATAACAGAGGTTCAATAAATTCTTCCTCTGGAGCTCCAGTTACTGCTGTCTTCATCTGGATAAAATGATCTAAGAATGCAGGGGGGTTTCTGACTATCTTTTCAGTCTCTGGGTTATATGAACAAAAGTAGTTTTTATTTTAATACTATGTTATAGCCTAACATATATATGTATTATACCTCTATTTCTAAGTTTTATCAATAATAGAAATAGAAGAAACTATATTAATACAGCAAAGTTTTCTAACATTATACATAGAATATTCATTTTAATATTTGTGAAAAGCCAGTAATATAATATGTATCTATAACATGAATTTATAGTTATGCATATACAAAACAAATCCCCTGAGCTGGCTGGGAGAGGAACACGGATAGCAGACCAGACATGACTCTCCTAAACCTGTGGCAGTCAGGAAAAGCCTGCTGATTTAAATGTGATTGCTGTAGCTTTACACTGTCATAAGCCAAGCAGAATTGGTCACTGTATTTGGTTGCACACAGTTGCTGTGTCCTCCCCAGGAATTTACACTTTCTCTACCACTCAATCGCAAACAGACCACTTTAATACCACTTCTGTTTTCGTAGCTTTGTTAGTAACTTTGTCTTCTTAAACAAGCTTGCATGTTCCTCCAAACCCTGTATATGTATTTATAAGACTGGTTTTCTCTGTGAAATTAGAAAAAAAGATTAAGCTAAATGCTTTTTTATCCTATCAAAATTATCCCTGATAGTTTTATTAAAATAAATTTTAAAATCAGGTTAAAGCCATGGTTTAAAACAGGACTGCATGTTCATGTATACAGGTAAATCTCTAGAGTCAGAGGTTAAGGGACAAAACCGAGAAAGCTTATAGATCCCCCGAGCTTTAGGACAAAAGGCAACAGCTCTTTGGAGAAGAGAGGAAACTTTCCCTTTAGTCACCAATCAAACCATGCTCTACTGCTGAGTTTCTTCACTTTCCTTTGAAGATCATTTTACCAGCTATTATTAGGGACAGAACATGGAATAGTTGTACTAGTGCTCTGGTCCAGAACAGAGCCTGTATTTTTAGTGTATTGCTTCATTGTCTCTAGAGCTCGATGTGTGTAAGATATAAGCACTGCACTAAACAACAGTTACACTGTCAGCCTTTCACCACTAGCCTTTGGGGGGTAATTTGACCTCAAGGCAAGGTTACTGTTACTCATTCTAGCAACATTAGAAACCTAACTAGCTAATTTAGCTCTCACTACTTCTGTGAGACCTTGAATTCTGGTCTTGATGTTGCTACAAATGTTCAGGCTACAGCAGGGGCAGCCAGCATCCTAGAGGTGTAAATAAAACCTGAGAAGCTCACACAGCTCTTACCTTCCCACAGGCATGGCAATGATGTCGCCTCAAAGTGAGGGTAAAGTCACAGCCACAGTTCATGCACATCATAACGTGGGACACGGGCACCAGTGTAGGAGGCCTCTCACCCAAAGGTATTCCAAGCCTTTCCCTCAGCTTAAAATCAAAGAAGAATAAATGAAGAAGCATCCACACTTCCTAAGCCCATTTAGCCCTGTCACATAGGATACAATTCTTTCATTTCAGTCTACCTTTACTTGCTAAGATCCCCAAATTTTCTCATTCCTAATGCACTTATATAAGTGACATACAGCTGCTCAGCATTGAAAGATTAGTACATGCTGCTGTTAAAGCCACAAGAAGCAAAAATCCACATAAATCTGTTTTTGGTCAGGCCCTGACAGTCTTCCACATCAGACAAGTATCTGACTAATTGCATATGAAAATTGCAGGTAGGAACATGAGTTAAAAGCATCTTTTTGTTAGCAGCTTTTGAAATAATATCCATAAAAAGTTCTACAACTTTCAATCAAAAAACTACTTGAGCTCTTTGTCATTACACCTTGGCTGTGTGGTAAGGGAAGAGAGAATAAAGAAAACAGTAGAACCAAAGATGAATTTACCCCACTCCAAATCTGATCCATGCTTTCTGGTTGGTCTCAATATGTGCAAGCAGCTTTAGAAAATGTATTTGCTGTTCCCAGTTCTTGAAATGCATCACATGGCAGTGATGTTCAGGTGTCTTTGCTCCAAGCCCAGGGAGTCATGATCAGTGTGGAACTGAATGCAATCTAATAAGCTGCATTATTTCAGGTTCAGCACCAAAGTGTTATGGGCACCACACTGTCAGTTCCCAACAGCTCAGCATTTGGCACAAGTAGGACAAACTTGTGCTTTTGAAAGATTGTTTCCTATGTGGAAATTAGACTTCTGCAGACGCACAGGATCTAGACACAGACAAATTAAATTCCTCAGAGTTTCTCCATGCACATATTCAAGCTTACACTAGAGGCAGAGATGCAAAAGAAATTATTTTTTCATTTGTTGAAAAAAGGATTTGGTTTAGATTACTAATGTGACTAATTTCCAATTATTTTCCATTAAATATTTGAAAGTAGATTAGATACAGGCCAGAAAAAAAAGGCCTGACTTTTTTTAAATAGGTTTTTTACTTTCTGAGATCTTCAAAAATTTATTTATAGAATGGTTGAGTTTGGAAAGGAACTCCGAAGGTCACCTGGTTCAACCACTCTGCTCAGGCAGAGCATCTGAACATCTCCAAAGATGGAGACTCCACAGCCTCCCCAGACAACCCAGTGCATTAGTGCTCAGTCCCCCTCAGGGTGAAAAAGTGTTTGCTGCTTTTTGAAGGAATCTCCTGTGTTTCACTTTGTGGCCACTGCCTCTAGTTCCATCACTGGACACCACTGAGAAGAGCCTGGCTCCTTTGTAGCCTCCAGGTATTTGTACAGTAGATGCTCCCTGAGCCTTCTCTTCTCCTGGCTGAACAGTCAAAGGTCTTCCAGCCTTTTCTCTTATCTGAGGTGCTCCAGTCCTTTATCAGATTTGCTGCCCTTTGTTGCTTACTTTCCAAGGTTTCCATGTGTCATACTGAGGAGCCCAGCATTGGACACAGCACGCCAGATGTGGCCTCACCAGCACTCTTTCTTATTTAGGAAAACTGGGGTTCCACATAATCTAAAATAGCATATTTACTTTTTTATCAGATGCAGATTTTGCCTCTTTAACTGGGAGTAGAATAACTAAATAATGAGATTATAATAATATGCATAATTACACTGGTACAGTTTCAATATCACTGGCGGAGTTTACACTGCTTGTGACTTTATTGTCTATATGATATTGGTGTAATTAATGGGTAGCTTGGGTTGTTTTTTTTTAATCTATGAAGTTTGCAGCTATTTTTAATTAATCCAAAATAACTACTTGTTTGTCTTTTAGGACAAAACAATCTTCCTCCAAAAGAACTAAGCAATGGCCACAGAGTATGGCATGTGATTAATGTTTCAGAGGTGGTCCATGAGCTGTGACGAGTTTAATTGTTCAAGCTTGATATACTTATTTAAATGAAAATAGAATGTCTGGCTGCTAGGAACTCTGCACTGTATAACCCTCCTTCTTTCCTCTCTCTCTCTCTATCGCCCTTCCCTTTTCAAGCATTGAAAGATTTGGCCTCCTTTTACCTCCATGCTGCTGTGGAAAGTCGAAGTCTTGTGAGCTTTGCAGTCATCTGGGATGTGTTTACTGATGCAGCTGTACCAGTCATCCCTTTCTGAGCAAGAGCTGGGGAATGAAATACAGCAGAGCAGTCAATGCCATGCACAGCAGGGACTGAAACAAGCTGCTCAGAGGAGAAAAGTGTCACTTCATGAATGTTTGCTTTTCCCTACTACTGCACTGAACTGATAATTTTCTGACGAGGAACAAAATTGACTATATTCAGAGTGATGATATGTAGCTCCATGCTTAGGACTGTGACTGAGAATGAACTAAACGCCCAGAAAATTTTTCAAAGTAGTCTCTGGCTTTGCTATAGGCTGCTCAATCCTAGATCACACAGGACAATATGAAATGTCTCTTTTTGTCCAGTCTGCCCTATCTTTTAGGCACTCTAGTGCATAAAGTCTTGGAATACATGGGTTGCTCAAGGCAAACATGTTTATGTTTATCTCTACAGTGGGCGGCTTAGATGAATTGCATGTTGGGAATTGCAGAAGTGTATTACCCACGGTAGAGATGTGAATGATTTAATTTTCCTTTAGCTTCTTCACAGACAACCTTCAGTCTCCTGGGACAGAAGAAGCCAGGACAGTAATTAGTGAAGGAAGCCGTGCGTTCCCTGGAGTTGGTTACTGGAGTTAGTGTGTAGGCCAGTAATTCTCCAGACTGGCCTCTAGATGCCCCCTGTGCACAACGCAAACCAGCGAGAACTTCACTTCCCCTGCTAGTCCAGCTATTGCCAAAAAGCAGCAGGGTCCCTGTTATTTCACAGATGCATTTGCTCTGTTACAGCCGAGAGGTATCCTGCCTGTTTCAGCTGTTTTTTCTGCTGTGATTTCAAACTGTGCACTTCCTGTTCATCTGAAACTCTGCACAACTCTAGTGGTTTCTCGTCTCAGTCACAGAAGGGAATGCAACTCAGTGTGGTCTCCCCACTCCAGATCATACCAGCCACTCACATTAAAGCTATCCACTAGACTTTGTTGTAAAAACTAGCAGTGGCATCATTACCAGCTGCTGTTCAGCTGTGATTTCCTCACACTGTCCTCATGAAGACCACCAAACAAGACGTCTGAGAACAGTTTGTATTTTGTGGTCTTAAAAAAATAAAAAAGCACAAAAAAGAGAGGAAATGCCAGGTTTTCTTGATGATCTTTGGCTGCATCCCTCTGCAGGATGGGACAGGCTCATAGGCCTCTTCACTATGAGCATAAACCTTTCTCTGAAAAAAACATCAGCCTGTGCAAAATTCAACAAGCCTGGAGCAGGAACTCTTAGATGGTCTATGTACTGCAAATTGGCTAACCTCTGAAAGCCAAGGAGCTATCTTACAGGAGATCACCTCTATAATGAGCCACACTACTAAACATAGAATCCCAGAATGGTTTGGGTTGGAAGAGACCTTAAAGATCATCTCATTCTAACCCCCTGCCATGGTCAGGGACACTTTTCACTAGACCAGGTTGCTCAGAGCTCTACTCAACCAAGTCACTCCTTATCACTACCAAAGTTATCTCCTGTCAAATTACACTGTCTAAGAAATCTGAAGATATCTGTATCTTCCAGACAAATCATGTCCACCGCTAGAAAAAACTAAAATAAGTCCTGACTTTTCTGACTTAAACATTTGTCTTGCTAATTCTTTCATTCTCTTCACTTGAGAATTAAGATATGATTAAAAAACCCCCAAAATCCCCAAAGGAAATCATGGCCCATATAGTGATGGAAACTGAAGGTGCTTTAGGAAAGACAGGTAAGAAGGACAATATGTTACCAAAAGTCTGATATCTAACTTGCCCCTTTAGCCTTTTCTCCACTCAATTAAAAATACCTAGGAAGTAATTGCAGGTTTTTGATGACTAAATGTGGGAATAACACCCAGCTGCTGATGAGTAAGATCAATTATGTCGATTTGCATAGGCCTGTTCTTAATTAGCTATTTGACTTGGTTACATTCAGTTACATGAAGGCACAGAGGAATTTTTGCTGAACCTCTGACACTCAGAGAAGGTCAGCCCCTGATCCACCATTGCCACATTTGGTCCTTGTGGGATTTTTGGCATGTATCTTCTGTGCTGAGCTATCAGTTTATCCATGTTGATTCATATATTCATCATTAAGCAAATAAAAAGAGGGAGTCAAGTTGTTGTGGCATTTCACTAGACAGCAGGGAACGTCCACAGAACACAGAAATTGGAGCAGGAAGGGATTTTGTCACAGCTCTACCACTATTGCACTAAATTAGCCTTTAAGGAGGTAATATTGAGTGTGTCCTCCTAGTATTTTCTCTGGTATTTTATATGAGCACCACAGGATTATCCCTGTGTCCAAAAGTAATGTTTTTGTAATGCAAACAAAGATATAAGAGCATATGAGCCTTCTCCATAAAGGTGCTGTGCTCAAATCTGTTAGCAGCTCCCTGTTAAACCAATAACATGGCTCTTCTGGTGAATGAGCCATTTTCAGCAGGAAATGACTTTACAGTGCCACCTGCTCATATAGCCATGCTGACTTCTGAGCTTTGGTCATCCTTAGTCTACTGCCTTTTGTCCCTGGCACTCATGCTGTATTTCTTCAGTTCACTCACCTTGTCTCATACAAATAGAAATACTTGAAGCCTTCTGCACTTTTCTGTCTTTGGTGCTTCTTTTGGTGAGTGTAATAGGCCAAGGATGTTGTGCAATGGAGTTAGGAGAGCATGCTGGCTCACTGGTATCTCATTAGCTCTGCCAGTCAGTAGAAAAAGGAGGAGGAATAACTGTTCTTGGGTGACTTATGACAGATTGATCACAGAATGAGCAGCACAAGGAGAGGGAAGGAGCTCTATCCCAGCCTCTGTTATCAGAGGGTAACCTTAGTCTCAGGTCCTGATTCTATCTACTACCAAATAAACACAGCTCACAGTTGCCTCACATACTTTGTTTATGCTAATTAAGCATGGACTTAATACGAGTACTAAAGGCAAAGAAACATCCTAATAATGCAAGGAGTGCATCCCAAGCTGCTTGCTAGGGATGACAACTTCTGTTGCTCTGGGGAAAGGGGACGTGTGACAAAATTTCCCCTCAACAATACAGAAGGACTGTACACATACAGCTTTTATAACTGGCAGAGAATTCAGAATTACTGTGAGTATATTTTGAGGATTGTGAAGAATGTGGAGGTCTAAGGAAATCTCAGATATCATTATGGTTATAAAAGGAAATGGACCAAAAGGCTTTGACAGGTAGCTGAGCACTCCTCACAGATGGTAAGTGCTCTGGGAAGCATGAGAGCTCCAAATTCTGATTCTGAATAAGAAAGTATCATCCCTGTCTTTCTCTTGTGCTATGTACTTTAGGAAGTAAAACTTCCTGTACTTTAGGTTGTGTTCCTAGGCATTCTGTTGCACACTGTAGTTGCAGACTGATGGTGGGAAAGTCTTAAAAAGCTTAATAATTATAAGTTATTATATATTTATAATATTTAATTTTTAATATTTAATTATTTAATATTTAATATTTATTTGTTTAATATTTATAAATAAAATACTTAAAAGCACTGAAGACCTTGTTGTTTGGAAGAATTAATTTTAATACCACTGGTAGTGTGCTATGTTTCTTGTGGAAAACAAATCAGTTACCTTTCTGCTATAGCTGTAGGTAAATTAGTGGGATAGTTTTGGGCTAGAATCATGAAAAATACTGTACACGTCTATCTTCTGATCAGAAACTGATCTACAATCTCTTTTTGGCACTGGCTTGGGATCCTAGGACAGGGATCTTGATGCCCAGCTGCAATCAATACTAACAGTACACAAGCTCATTATTGAAATTCTTTTTATTAAATAAACCCATGAGGTTGCCAGTAAAGTTTAATTTTGACTTTGACGCTTAAGCGCTACTAAATACCTTTATATCTGTTGCATGGCATTACCTAATTACTATTTTCTCCAGGAGTTTTACAGCCTTAGAGGTACAAGGTAACAAGGGAACTTATAAAAAGGAGATATAACAGACTGCAGTGTCACAGGGAAAGAATGTGAAAGATAATGGAAAGTACCCAGGCTTCTTCTTTCCTTTCTCTTTAAGATGATATGAAGAGCCAACTTCTAGTCTTTAGAAAGTACATTAATTGAATTAGTTACAGTTCATGAGCCTCACATTTATAATTAATGTTTATTGCATAAGCAAGTACTTAGCCATTGTCTGTTACCAATAGCAGACTGAAAAAAAGCTAGCGAAAAAAGAATGACACATCATTTCAGTCTTGGGTATTGCTTGGGCTAATCCAGAGATACAGCTCTAGAATGTAATACCCTCTGCCTTGGACATTTGGGAACAGTACCTTGCTGACAGGGTTAGGCAATGTTCATCATATTCGATCTTCAGGATGTTTTGGGCTTTCTCTATCACTGGGCGGCTGACCTAGAAACAAATGTCATGAACATGAATGTGGATATGAATTAAATTGTCTATAGCCAGTACACACAAGTCTCAATGCATATGACCTCTGATACCCCAACCATCTGTTTCATATTTCAATGCAAAAAATATGGGCATTAGGGTTCTTTGTATTGCTGTTCTAATGAGGAATGATATCTAATTCAATATGGTGGTGTGCTGAAGGTAAAAAAATCACTTAATCCAGCCTATAAGGATGAAGTATCTATGAGGGTTCAGTTTTAATATGACAAGTTTAAGAGATGTTTAGTCCGCCAAGTGTCAGAGCACTTTGGTCTATGCTTGTAATGAATAGAAGTTGCTTTTTTTTCTGACATGCAGACATTATACAGTGAAGCACTTCAGTGAATGCCTGTCTGCAGCAAGGCTCTTTAACAGCAAAAAAAACAAAAGCCAACTTAAAAGCTACAGCATAGCTAAAATCTCTCCCCTATCACGGAGTATATTAATAGCCTGCTAGTAGCAACAGCCAGTGAGGAGAAATATAGCTTCATAGTTTCTTACATTTTTATTAACAAGCATCATTATACTAGTGACTCAGTGTTTCAAATGTACCTCAGTAAGTACTTGCTCCACAACTCCTTTTCACATAACAGTAGAATATTTTGGCAATTCCTAGGAATTGCTGGGATCCCTGAGTTAGTTTTAAACTCTTGGGTCCCTGGGATGATCACCATCCACCCCAGCACCATCCCCCCCACTCCTTTTCACAGCACCTTAAACTTCCTATGTTATTCCACTGAAATTTATGATTAGTAATTCTCATCTTGCATGTTTTCTAGATCATCAGACTCCTGACTTGTCTCTTCAAATCCTCTTTCACATAAATAAAACTTGGAATATTAACCATAGAACAGTTATGAAGGTCCAAGAGACCTCTTTGGTCCAATATCTCCTGTTGCATAGGTTCTGGTGCCAATGAGTACTTAGGGAAAGAATGTAAGGACAGCTTAATCGTATTTTCAATTTATAAATTTATTGAAGAAGAAATTGGTTTTGTATCACTGCATAAAATTGTTCCCAATGAACCTTTTCCCCATAAAGTTAGCTGATTGCTTTTTGAACCATTAAAGCTTTTGATGAAAACAGTTAAAAGGCTCATGAAAACCAGCCACATGTTTTCCGAATTTTGAGTAGCAGGGGTTTAAAACCAGACTAAGCTCTGGTGAATTCATTATTATTGCATTGGCTGGAGACAAAATGGGATAATAAACCTTTTCTGCTTCCTGTTTCATGATCAGAGGGTAACTGATTTTGGCTTGTATTATTTATGCAGTCTGAGTAAGGCTGTCATACTAAGTCACAGACTTAGAGATAATATTTTTATGTTGTTTTCTACCATTTTTCCTTCTGTCTACTGTAAGAGACAAGGGAATACCCTCAAAATAGGTCCACCCCCTCTTTCCCCTTGGTGGATATGAGGCATAAACCAGCAAAGTACCAGCAGCTCACTATAAAACTTTAATTCAGGCTTTTAATACAGATGAAGCATTACCTTCATGCCTGACACAGGCAAGGTGTTTTTCAGTCGGTATTTGCCATCCTTCTGGGGATATGTGTACAGCAGAACATCATTCATCTATAAGAGAAGAAAGACAAAGTCAATAATTTGCAATATAGCTTGCAGGCCTACCTACCCATTCTCCTGGGGAGGAAACCTGGAACAAGCTGTAACTTGATGAACTGCTGGGACTGTTACCTAACCCAAACCCTTTCCAAATATCCAGCCTAACCCTCTCCTGAGAGCTTCATGCTGTTTCCTTGGATTACGTCACAGAGAGCAGAGACTGGTGCTGCTTCTCTGCTGCCCTTCCTGTGGGAGCTGCAGACCACAATCAGATCTGACCTCAGTCTCCTCTACTCCAGGTTGAACAATTCAAGTGGCCTCAGCCACTCCTTGTATGGCTTCTCCTCCAGATCTTTCCCCATCTCTATGTTCCTCCTTTAGATGCTAACAGCTTTAGCTCCTTAATCTGTAGTGCCCAAAACTGCTCACAGTACTCAAGGTGAGGCTGCCCCAGTGCAGAGCAGAGCAGAATTCCCTCCCTCACCCTGCCAGTGATGCTGACCCTGATGCCACCCGGACACAGTTGGCCCTCTTGCCTGTCAGGGCACAGCTGATTCATATTCAACTTTTGCTGACCAGGACCAGCAGGTCCCTTTTCACAGTGCTGCTCTCCAATGCCTCATTGCCTAGTCTACACTACAGGGTTGCCCCTTCCCAACACTAGCCCTTGTTAAAACTTCATATGGTTGGTGATTGTTCATCTCTAATTCGTTGAGGTCTCTGAAAGGCCTCTCTGCCCTCGAGGGAGTTGACAGCTCCTCTCAGTTTAGCATGATGGGCAAACTTACTTGGTATCCCTTCAAGTTCTGCATCCCCTTTGCTCATGAAATATTAAAGAGCACTGGCTCTAAAATGGGCCCTGCAGCACCTGGGCACTAAGGAAGTGAACTCCTTAGAGAGATTTTCAGGATCCTGACATAATCTGCTATGAGGCTTCTTGAATAGCAAACTCAATTTATTTTATGTATTTTAAAAGTTACATATCTCTCTTCAAACCTGCTTATTATTTTATTACTGTTGATAAAGGATGACACCATGGTGCATACCATTATCATGACAACCCTGATTAATTTTTAACCCTGATTTTACTAAACATTACTCTGCTTTATAATTGCCCATTGGAATTTTTTTTCCTCCTTTTTTCCGCCTATTTAGCAATAGGCTGTGATTTGGAGGTCCCACTAGCTACAGCTTGACACAGTGAAATTATGACAAATGTTTCAAAACTTGTGAAGCAAAGCATATATATTCATGAAGAAAGAAAGAAAGGGTTTGCATGCACTGCTGTCTCCTTTGCCACATGCACAGTAAGGACCTTAGTGATGGCCATATGAACAGTATGGACAGAACTATCATCAGTACCAGTGGTTTCATGCATCCTCCTGCTTCAACTGTCCACTGTTCCCTGAAGCAGTGAGGACTGATGATAAAAGCTGATCTTGCAGCCTCTCAGAAATCTGCAGTAGAGGAGATGGACTGCTAGAACCCTATAGGAAGTTCCCACAGGTCCTTGGGCTTCAGAAACACTTCTTGTTTGCCAGAATACTTTTGAATAATTTGGATTCCCAGACTGCTCAGAATTTGATATTGGAGCATCATTATTCTGCACTGCTCCATGCACACATGTTCCCCAAAACAACAGTTGACAACACAAAGAAGGATATGCTTCCTCTTTAATTCCATTTTTTCCTGTTACTGCTTTCCTATTACACCCCACCTTCTTTTTATAATTATCTCTTTTGTGACAAGTACCCAGTATCATTAGAGTCAGTGCAAGTTTTCTAACCTCTAGTCTCAAGTTGATTGATATAAACAAGTTTATGCCCTGCTGAACCGCTGGCATCCTTATATATGTACTCTCTGTCTAAAAGCTTCTAGATGGTTTTTCTGAATGTTTTAAGGGCTTGTTAATTGCGAACCTCGGCTTCTTCTAATTAAGCCTGAGTTAAACATGCCGAGTGTCAGTGGAGCAGTCTGTATGTGTGCTGGAGCTGTGTGTTCCAAGCTGTGAGTCCAAAAATCTCCTATACTCCAGCCCTGCCAGATAGAGCATTAAACAGTTTCCCATTTGATAGCAGCTTCCTGCAACCCATTTTCAAAACAAGTGGCCTTTGTAGAGAAATTCTTATAAGGGTGAGATAAGAGACAGGCTCTGCGTTGCAAAGTCTTGTGGTTGGGGGACAGTTAGGGGACCTGCCCGTTTCAGCAGCCCATACTGTGCTGCACAGAGGCCACAACATCCTTGTAAACAGAGATTGGACTCAGGAAACAGACACACAGCAAAACTCAAAAAACATCCTGCCAGGAAACACCAGATTCAACAATACCATCAGCCTGCACAAAACAGCCAGCTCAAGTAACATTATGATACATACAACATACACCTGCAGAAACATTTGAAATTTGTATTTACACTGTTATGCCTATATGGGCTGTGCACAGACATACAATGCTCCTTATAGGCAGATATATATTCAGAGCACACCACTAAAGCATACCTCAAAAGTACAAGTGGGAGTCTGTCACACACCCAAGTTTTACAGCATATTCTAGCTACCTCTTCAGTTTGGTGGCCTCATCTTCTGGGATGTGTAGGGATTAAATTCTCAAGGCTATCATGCTCTTGCTCTGAAATTCTCTCCAGGTCCTGGTCTTGATTTAGCTTCAGTCAGAGTAAGTTTGCTACTAAGAACTTCAGAAAATGCTATTAATGTAAAAATATCTTTGGGATAGTGAAGATAAATACACTTATTCCATCAAAGCTAAGCCAAATTACATCTATACATGCTAGCTTCTGGTGATCTTTTTGAGTCACTGCTGACATCTGAAGCATTAAAAAAATGTTCTGAAAGGTTTGGGTTTTTATTAGTACACAAACCTGAGTTTTACAAGTACTTTAAAGGATTATAAAATGGTCCTTAGAAGATAAAGGCTTTAAATAAATGTCAGTTTTAAGAGACAATGTTTAGGAAATTATTCTTGTCTTGGGGTTTTGGCATGGGTTTTTCTCCCACAGTGTCCCCAGGCAACAGAGTCAAGACAGCACTGATAGAGGGAAGGATATTTTCATGTAGGCATGGCCTTTTAGTGAAAGATGTTGCCAGTGATGGTTGGTAGGACCTTAAGACTGACACAATAACCACACTGTATGCCAAGACAGAAATATCTGACATAGCTATGCAGTAGTTGTCTTGCTGTATCGACAGGCTAAATAGTCCATTAAGCAATGCAGGAGTGGTAGTGGCATAGGTAGGGGCAGTGGTGGTACCACTGAGAATCAATAGCAATAGTAGTGACACAGCAGATAAAGCAAGACCATTCAGAAGTTAATGCAGGAATTACCAATTCCACAGTAACTTTCCTGCAATTTCACTGTACATGGAATTGCTTTGCAACCCGGGGAGCATTCATATGGAGGAGACTGGAGTAAAAGAAAAAAAAAAAAATCACTGAACCCAAAGGTAGATATTTGCCCAATAAGTTTTAAGTAGTTTCAACCATCAAATCACCCTCTCCCTGCCCGTACTGGAGATACAGTATAGGAAGCCTGAAGTGATTACAACTTCAGTGTGCTAGACTAGAAAAGAAGCCAGGTTTATGTGTCTCTTGCTTCATGAAAGTGACCATTATGACTAGCTCCACCCCATTCTTTGCATGACAGCACATTTGGTCACAATTTGCCTTGCTGACTGAAAGGAAGAAAAACCCACTTTTTCTGAATACTGAGAACATCTATTAACAAGACATTGGCTACTCTAATGTCTCTAGCTGTCAAGAGTCACTTCTCATTTTGCAGTTAACATCTGACTTTGAACATTTGAACTTTTCCCAGAAAATAGTTTCTAAACTAGAGAATGCCAGAAAGTAATTTCTGTGCTTGCTTTGTTCCAGTAGTACTTTCGGCCTCTTGTGACTTTTGACCTTCAAGCTGATACAACCATTTTGAATGACTGGAAATTTATATACATTTATCCCATGTTTAAATTACTTTCCTCTCAATGTTTATTATCAACCTGATTTCTGATCTTCCATTCAAATTCTCTATAGCAGCTACAACAGCTGAGTTTGTAGCACTGCAGTGTTTGTCATAGTAATGGGTTATGATGGCAGCAACAACCACACTGGAAGATTAAAGGGTAGCACTATCTTGGAATTTTGTCCCAGTTTTAGCCACAATTCCAGAATACTGGTGAAGGCAAGTGATTCAGAAGAGCGATCAGTAGAGATGTAATTATCATCTGTTATTAAGCGGTCATCAGTAGACTTCAGAGTTACTGCTGCTGAGAATATTGTTTCTTAAGACCAGCTTCTGGAGTTTCTGGCATAGCCTTTTTCCCGTGACTGCAACAAAATCATGATTTTGACATTTATTGTACTTGTTACAGTCCATTGTTGCTGACTCTGTAAAACATAACTGCATCTATCTTATATTTGAAGATTTGCATAAAATCCATCATTTTCAGTACATGAAAATCTGAATTTTCAAAGAAACCACTGAAACCATCAAAAAAGTACAGCACCAGCACTTTACTCATCCCATCTGATCTTTGATTATGACTGCAATGTGTGATTGAGGAAGGCAAGAAGCTTGTGCATACACTCATGCAAAGATAGGAGTTATAAGAGGGAGAAATAAGAAGGATTAATACAAAATACATGGTTTATGTAATAAGCCATCACTCCTCCTTACAATGATCCCATGGTGAAAAGCTGTCAGCACTCAAAGGCAACAGCAAATACATATTCCAGGTATATAATTCATTTATTTTAAAATACATTCTGCAAGCAATATTTTAATGTTACTAGGAGCAGTATTGCTTAGATCTTTATGACGTTTTTCTGGGAGGGAACTCTAAAGAATTTTTCAAACATTAAGAGATAATCAGGTAACAAAGTTCTAAAACACAGGCAAGTATCATATTACCTTTCATATTGATAAGTGCATAAAAATATGTGTAGTTACACAGTAAGCTAATTGAAAAGTTGAGAACGGAGCTCAGGAGCCTGGAGTCTCAGATACTCTCTAACTGCTCAACAGACTATGTGATACAAAACAGAAAGCATAAGTGTTCATTCATATATCTCCAAAACAGTTGAGCTTCATCTGTTTTGATCTGCAAATACTTGCAGTAGGCTTGTGGGCCCCTCTAAAGAGTATTCCAGCCAAATGATGAAAGGCCCATTTTTCCTAATTTTCCTAGAAGAATATTGCAAACTGTCACTGAAAACTGTTGTTCTAATTCACACTAGGAGGTGTGTATTTAGAGGAACTATACTGGGGCAAGCACAAAATTATCAGGTAGTTTACATATATGAGGACAGCAGGAGCTGAAACCCAGTCCTTCATGTAAGATACAAATCCTTCCCAGTGTGACCAAAGGAAATTTTCAGCTACCTTAGCAGTAGGGTATTCTTTCTTCTGATTAAATCTTCTAAGGTCTTAGGACTTTCAAGTGTGCAGCTTAATTCCTGATGGTATTCAGGAGTTCTCATCTTCCTGATCCCCTTGAAAACTTGCAGTTCTTTGCAGAATTAGGTCCTGGTGAAGGCTGTATGTAACCGTGGCACAACCAGAGGGTTGCACAGCACATATTCCTGTATGTGGGGCCAGCGAGATGTGTGAAAGGACTACAGACCTGTTAGCAACAGGAACTAACTCAGCACATCTCTGTTGATGGTTAAATGACTTGCAGCCTTAAATCTGCCAGGCTTCAGGGTTGCATAAATACATGGAAAGATATGAGAGAGATAGTAAAAATGTAAAAAAATCTTACCAAGAACAAATGTCGAGGACGCCTGTTTTTGCCAGAGACTTTCATTAGTGTTCCCTCTTTAACAAAGATCTGAAGGAGAAAACAGCAGATTGTAATCCTGAGATTTCATTCTGAATCTTACTGAGAAAAGAGAGTCTTTCTCCTGGGGAAGGCACTACTCCAACACCATTCATCAGCACAAGAAGAGATAAAGAACTTCAACACTTGTTTCCAGCCTTACTCCTTATAATCTGGCTTAGTCTTTGCCTGCGTTAGCTCTGCTGCCCTTTATGGCTTGCATTTGTGTCAGTACAAAATGGGTTGGAAACCCACTTGTCCTCAGCCCACTCTTTCTGCACTGTGGACTGTGCTCAGAGGTGACAGATTGAAAGCTAATATGTAATGGGCTTTAGAAAAGAATTCTTGTCTTTAAAAGTCCTCTAATATAGACATATCAAAGCGAAAAGCTGAAACCATGGGTTTTAGTATGCTACACCAACTTAAATATACCTGCATATATAATTTGTATAATTTTGCAAGTACAGTATTTTTTCAGTCCATCCTATTATGGATGCTAAATATGAGCAGCAAGCACGGAGCACAGTGCCTGTGGAAAAGCAGGCCACATAACTTTCTCGGACTCACCTGAGAAAGAGGCCTGGGAAATCATAAGGAGGACTCAAAACAATCCTCAGAGATAGAAGACAGCCTTGCAGGTGTTGTTTGTCAGTTTCTTGTTTTCTTGCAAGAGAAGGTCGAGGGTGGTGTACCCCATTGACCAATGATGGTGATACGTTAGTTCACTGACCAATAAGAGTTTTACCTTTCTGGACTTTTGTGTATTGGTCTATAAAAGAAGATCTCAGGTAATAAACCTTGTTCTCCTGTTCAATGCACAAGAGAGTCCATGTCGTTACTACATTGCCATTCCCAATATAGTGCGACATCCTGTTACTACGTATGTAGGTAGGACTTGTGTATATGAGCAGTTAAACCAGCACAATAGAACTTCATTGCAGTAATGTTTGAAAAAGTCTGCTATAACTGAACTACACACATGTGGATTAACAGTCATCTGCTCTTTTCAGACAGAGATCAGAATCTATAGTGTACTTTTCCACTCTAGAGCAGTTTATAATCAAAGAGACAAATCCTGCAAATTCTGTATGCTGGGCTTTGCAGAATTTGTTAAAGCATTACCTGGTCAGGGCAAGTGAGAATACTGATGTTAAAGAGAAAAACAAAAGTTGACTTCAATATTTGGATGATGAGTATTCTTGTGTTATAAGTATGCATGCCTAGAAAATTGCTTCATGAATTTTGCTAGAGATATTGGTGGACTGAAGGGAAATTCAGAGTTGCAGAACCCAAGAAAGAAATCTTTTGAAGTACAGAAGCAGGTTGGAGCTGAGGAAACTGGACAGGTTTGAAAGCCAGAAGAAATTTGCATTTGATGTGGATAGCAAGACAGAGCTGTACACTCTCTCACATTTCTGTTGATGAGTTGCTTAAAACAGCATCTCATATTAAAAGCTCCATGGGGGAATGGTGAAAATAAAAATTTGAAAACAAATTAGTTGCCCAAATTAAAGCCAGCCAAATAAAGCACAGAGTATTTTCAAGTTGCAAGCAATTCCCGCTATAGTTGCAGCCTTTTGACAGGAGGAAAGCAGTAGTTCCATCAAAATGCACTACACTTGGGATGTCTGAGGACAGCTGAAATAAAAAGCCAAATGGCTGCTCTGTGTAAAAGCAGAGACAGTGCATGTCTTTCCTAGCATGACATTCTTTTTGTGCATTGCCAGAGTGATGTTTTTTACACAAACCAGTGCTCCAACTCATATCACAATAGCTCAGTAAACAATATGTGTAGACGTCTGAAACGTGGCCATCCAGATAGAGATACTGCAGGCCAGAAACAATGCCCTCAGCAGCATAGGTCTGCTTGCAGCACTCACCCTTCCTGGCTGGAGGAGGCCGCTCTGCCCTCTCACACTGTGTTCAATGTGTACTAGCTTCTGCAAGTTTTCCTGGGAGAGAAAAACAGCATTTAGAAGGCTGCATAGAGACTGTTTCTATACAAGCAGGCAAATTTTCCCTCACCATTTCATTTCTTTAGAACAGATATTACAGAATTAGGTTTCTGAGAGAATGGAGACCAAGGATTTACACCCAGAAAGTCTTCTTCCTGCCTTATGGATTTTACAAAACCTTATCACCTGCATTCACATCTGGTGTGACCTTCTCCAGTTCTTCTTACTTGTAATTCCCCAGTTCACCCTCCAAAGGAAATGCTAACTTCATATGATAGTTATACTTTGGCTTCTTTGCCAACTTTCTGGCTCTATGAACTACTAAAATAGGGACACAGTATCTGCTCCAAATGCCTGTGCATAAGTGCCATGACACAGATAACCCAAAGCAAGCTTTGATACTTTAAGGCTGTTGCTAGGATTATCTGAAGATTTACATTGTGTGATAATGGATTAATGCCTGTGCAATAGGGGATTTAGAAGGTACACTAGTAAGCAGGCAATGAAGCTGCATTTCTGTTTGGATGCTTTGCAAAAACCAGGAAGTTTATGGTTCAACTCTGATACTATGAACTATCTACCTGGCCTTAAAGCAAAGTCAGTCAGTGGGCGCTGGCACCAGGCATAAACTTACCTATGAAGATGGTAAATATGATTAACCTAGATAAGTCTGTGCTCCCATAAAAAAAAATCAGATTAATATAAGAAGGAAGAAGGGATGTCTGTACCTTTGCAATATTGCTAGTCTTTTTAAATCTCTTTCCATTTATCAGGTGAGGCTGTTGAAACAGAGGCTTGTGCATAGGATTCAGCTGTGGATTTTATCTGATCAGAACAGTAGAATGGGCTGCCCAGCAGCAGTGAGTCATCACAGGCACATGCCTAAAAACTGGGAGACTCCTATCTAAGTTAGCCACTGTATTCTGTATCTTCAGTTATACACTCAGTTAAACTACAGACTAAGGACCATACCTGATACAGCTTTGTGACCTGACAGCCTTTGAGTACAGTTTTCTGCTACAACAGGCAATGTTCTGTTTTCCTTTGCTCCGTTGACTGGCATTAATATACCCCTGGGATTAGTGAGACTTGATCAGATCATACACTGTATCTGTCTGATACAAATCAGTGGTGTCTACAGAATCAGCAAATTAATAAAGTTATTATAGATACCAGAAGGAGCATATCCAAGTCAACACGATGGTATGTTGAGGCTAATTTACCAGATTTCAGCTAACACAATTCACGTACCTATCTAGGCTTGCTTTTTTGAGATAAGCCTGAAATACCTCCCTATCTTACTGCCCTAGTGAAATACTGCACTTGTTTAGTATGATACTAAGTTTAGTTCTTAATCAGTAACTGGACGTCAAATACATGGAAATATCTACAAGGCTTGACCAGCACAGGGCTGCACTGTGCCCATGCAATGTAATTAACAGTTCACACATTTTCAAGAATGTGAGCTGTCAGATATGTCTTTTGCAAATCAGGAAGTAATAAATGGATTTTTTCAGGTCACTTCTAAATACTGTAGACAAATAAAATGGAAGCAACATATAAAGCAATAGCACAAGATATATCAGGGATCATGGGACAGCTGATTTTCGCTAAAGATATTGCAAAGGACTTTCTTGTCACTGAAGGGTATTTTAGCCTGGCAAAACTTGTTCAGTAGACAGCTTCCACAATGAAAACCTGTTTTTCATCTGCAGAAAAAGCAGTGTTCTTCTGTGAACACACTCATGCCAGTGCTAGCACTACTCATTTTGTTTTCTACCAGAGTGAGAGGAGAAGTTGCAGCAGCCCAGCTTTTCTCAGGACTGCTGGCAGAGGTGCCTGTTGAAATGCTGATGTTTGCGATATGGACACATGCTCACCAGGAAACAGACAGAGAAGTATTGAACTCATTTCCTGAAGGAAGTCAAACAGCCATCACTTGTGAAGGCTGGTGGTTTATCTGGGAATGTGGGCAGCTGGGGAGGGGTATAATTTCCTGTCAGTTCCCAAAAATTCTCAGTTTATATAGCTTTCTTCTTTGGTCTTAAAACGATCATCATTCTTCTTTCAAAGATCCTTCAAAATCCTACCACTAAGGAACAAAAGCAAAGCTCCACCTAGATAGTACTGCAGAAGTGGGTGTCAGAAATACTGCTGTGGCCATTTTTGCAGTAAAATGCAGCTTCCATAATTTTATCATGAATTTTATCTATGCAGCAGGAACACCTCTGCAAGGAATTCATCAGCTGTTAATAGCAACAGTGATTTGCTCTTAGCATCTCAGGGCCTCTAACAGATTGTCTGCATTCAGAGGGCAATACAAACACTGCTTAGTTCGTCTCCTGGAATTACAGACAGATATAATACTCTGTGGTGGTAGTGGTGGTGTGCCTCTACTTCTCTTTTTACATCTGTAAACTGAAAGTAATATTTTCCTACATAGTGAAAATGCTGTGGAGATAGTTATGGTCATAATTTGCTTGTAAATCCTGGGTTCCCAGGAAAAACTACTGGAGTCTTATTATCATAAAACAAAAACAACAACAAAAAAGCTAATAATGGGTCACTGGTATTCAGTAGAAAATGTTGATCCTAATTCAGTGCTCCTGTGAGATTTTTGGAGGGTCATTTGATGAGCTGGTACATGAGAACAGAAATCTTCCTCTTTACAGGTACATGCCAAATCTAAGTTATTTCTTAGAAATTCATCCAAGTACATGACAATTTATTAATGCTCTAAAAAAACTGGCACTGTTCAGTTTCTTCTGTAATTACAGTAATTATTTGCTTTTATGTTTTCTGTTTGCTTTTTTTTTTAACTGAGAGAAAGAAAAGAAGTGCTGGTTGTGGCTTTTGTGCTTGGGATGTTAATTCAGGAGGACAACCTCTGATTTAGCAGAAAATTGAACTTTGTTTCTCATGAACCCGTGCCTTCACAAAGCCCCCTGCATTCACACAGAAGGGAAAGAAGGAAATTTTGTTTTGTCTCTTCCTTAACAAAGTTTTGAAAAAGAAATATGTTCTGATTATATGATAAAAAATAAGTGTAAAAATCTATTGGAATTCGTGATGAAATTATTCCAAAACAGACATTATTAATAGCAATTATTATGCAGTCTGTGACATCTGTAAGACTCAGATGATATGATGATGTTATTCAAATAAAAGCATAGCTTAGCAGAGGCAAAATTATTTCATGGCAATGCAACACAGGAAAATTTATTTTGGCCACTTACATATACTTCTAACTTCAGAAAAGTATTTATATAAATATCCCATATATCTGAGTGAAATCTAAGGAAGCAGACGTGCCCAGGAAAAGATGTGTGACCTTGATCTGTTAGGAACTGAGCTCTTAGAGTCTCAGCCTCTAACATAGATATCTCTAAAGCTCTGAGATTTTTCTGGAAGGTTTTAATGAGATCTCAAGTTTTTGATTAAATATTATTTGGGTACAATGACTGCTTTAATAATGGAAAAATATAATTATAAATTCTTTGCCTAAGGAGAAGGAAAATCAGAATCAATCCAGTTGAAAACTTTGCTTAGTAAGTCTGTAGTTTCAGAGTCTAGTTTATAGAAGGGTCCAATTACATTCCTTTTTATAATAAAACTCTAGGCTTGTTAGACACCCTCCCTGCAACCTACACCTGTTCATTCATCTTCATAACTGATTAGTGTGTTCTTCCCTAACAATTCATGTGCATTCATTTTTAAGCCTTAAAAGCCTACCTGAAAACAAGCTCTTACTAAGATTGATATTTCACTCCTTTCCTTCATCTGCATCATCTTTATGTGATGATATTACATGTGATGCTTTTTCTCTTTGTCTCCTGAATTTCCTGTTTTGATGCCTGAATGATTATTAACAACCCTCTCACTGCTCAGGAAATGAAATAATAAAGAAGTGAGTTGAACCCCAAGAGGGAAAAAACCCCTTTGTGCTATTGACTATCGTGTCTTACATCTTGCACAGCTGCACTAAAGGGCATAGACCAACTCCACATCTGCACTACTGTAAACCAGATCTGTATAAGCCCTTGAGTCTCACCCTGGAGGAGGTTTCAGAATTTAGCAGACATATGTATTCACTTGAACAGATGTACCAAAAACACACTATTGATCAGGGGAGCATGCATCATGGTAGGACTCACCGCTTGGAGCATGCTGTCATTGGCTTGGTCCGTGATTTCAGAAAGTATGAATAAGGCAGCTGAGGGATGAAGGAAAGCAAACACCATATATCACACAAAAGAGTAGAAAAATAATTCAAATCCCTCCTGTTTGCAAGGGCATCCTTTGGCTTCTTTGCCACTTTCATAATAAAACTGCCTAGCAGCTCTGACATGGCACATGGTTCTGTCTCCCCTGCCCCCACTCATCGTTCTCTTGTGTGAAACTGCATCATGCTTGTGCTGACCCAGAGAGTTTATGAGGTCCCTTTTAAGCACCTAGGATGACACCGAATATTTTCTGTAACATTTTCTAGTTTTAGATTTTTGTCAATGTCTTGTGATGAATGTAACCCAACATTAGCCACCAAATAGCATGGCAGTCTAAGCTGTACCAATTACTGCTGAGGGAGACATGTCATCCCTTTATGACAGAAATATGTGTGAAGTGGTGGCATTAATTAACTCCCTTGGCAAATAACCTGGGCTAGGACTTGTTTGCTGGCACTGAGAGCAGTGGCGTAACATGGCTCAGGTCCCTGTTTCACATCCCTTTCCCTGTGGCACAGGGCTTTCTATCAATTTCTGGCCATTACTTGGGAACCTGCTGGTTAGGAATGGCACAAGTGTCTCCTAACCACAAATGTGGTAGGCAGTTGTGGTCAGAGGGCTTGAGTGTCTGCCCCACTATTTTTTAAATCACTGGCATAGCTGTAGCTCTACTGCCAGTGACTAGGGTCCTAAATCTTGCATGAGTCTCTACTCTTGGGCAGAATAAACTGACTTTCAGTCAGCCACTGACTTTATTGCTATGAGTTGTTTTGGATTTACAATCAGTGTAAGAGAGGTGAGTTGATTACATAATACAATGTTACTGCTGCTTACTCCAGCCTGGAAACTACTCCCACAGACACCACAACTAAACCTTCCTTTGATTTCAGTGGGAGTAAGATACTTCTGCTTTATGTATCTCATGTGTTGGAAAGGATAGTGTTAGCAGTAGATTTGCTCCTGATTTTGCAGAGCTGCTTTTTATGAAACGTCTTCCAACTTTATGTAATGTTAAGGAATCCAGAATACAGATACACATTTCAAACCTTCTGGGTTTCTCCGAAGTTCACAGAACACAGTAGGCATACCATAGATAATGGTACACAATCAGGCGGGGGAGCCATCCAAATTGACTTTACAATGACCAGCCCAAATATTTACAAAGCCAAAGAGGACTAGGATTTCCTCAATGACTGGGGCAAAACTACAGTATATGCACTATGCCTGTATAGATGTTTTCTTCTTCCATAAGTTCCATCACGTCAAAGCTATAGGAAGCCCATATGTTTCAATTAAAAAAAAAAAGAAAAAGGATAGGATTCTTGTCCTAAATAATTTGGTTAAATCAGTAATCAGTTCTTGGAGATTTTACATCTAACCTATCTATGCAAAATCTTCAAATACACACAAATCTTCCATATACTACCAGTATAGAGATCTTGCACCTCTTTAGGAGCACCTCTTTAGCAAAACAGAAGTTTTCTTCTACCAATTGCATTTTACCTTGTGTGGCTTCATACTCTGTAGAATCAGGACAAAGATTATTCAAGTAATCTGTAGTAAATGATCAAACAAACACAGACATCCAGCGATCAGAATACAGATCAACATAATTTGTAGTGTTGTTAGCTAAAACATAAAATCGTAATCACAAAATCAGACACTGGCTGGGGTTGGAAGGGGCATTAAGTACTATCTTGTTCCAATCCTTCTGCCATGGCCAGAAACACCTTCCAGCAGAACAGGTTGTCCAAAGCCTCATCCAGCCTAGGCTTTGAAGACTTCCAGGAATAGGGCATCCACAGTTATGCCCCACAGCGCTTTATTCCCAAATAATCAAGTGTATATATAGCCTCCTTCCAAAGCAAAACTCATCTTTGATGGCATTTTTCTTTGAGAATCAATGCAAGAGCATTGATACAGATTTGAGCTTACACAACTTGGCAGGTATAAATAAATAAATAAATAAATAAATAGTGTCAAAAATGTTTCTCAGTCAAGAGAATTGCTGAGTAGCACCACTTTACAAATAATTGTTTTTCTAAATAATTCTGTTTTCCCATCTGAATGAATGCTGTTGGCTATATTTAGAGTAAATGAATCATATGCTTTTTATGGGCACGGGAAGAAGACACTAGTTCTGTACAAGCAGGGTTCAAATAATTACTACCAAACTCAATCATGTTCTGAAAATAGGTTCTGTAAGATAGATACAATAGTGCTTAAGGTGACAGCAATTATATTTGCATTATATACAAATCTTTAATCAGTGTTTTTCCGGACTACTCTTCTTGGACCACCTGCTTATTCTGTGTCTGTGTCTTTATGGTTTTAAAGACTGTAGTATATAAGTGCCACAGTTTTAAGACCGTAGTCTGGAAATACTTCATTCTTAACTTGCCGATTAGTCCAGACTCCTAAATTCTGCATCCAAGAACTTGATCTCCATGCTGAAATGGTGCTGTGCATGGATGTCTGTTCCCTTGAATGTCCTATCCATATACATTTCTCTTTCTAGTGCTGTGCCTTCCCTGGTATCCTGAACTCCACCTAGCTTTTACCTGAATTCTGGAAAGCATCTGCCTGTACTCAGGCAGGCAGAAAGGGGTTGTGTGATGTCATCAGGCAATATTTAGTGTTCCTTTTCACCACTGAAAGCTCTGTCCTCAGCTATGGACTGAGTGGACAAATCCTTTTGGTAGTGGTGCAGTAAGTGTTAACCAATATCCTCATAAATACCCTTCCATATCTGGTGAATCAGAGTTATCACACAAGTACACCTGAGAATCTGAAGGAAAACACTGTTCCAGATTCATTCTGTCCAAGCAGTCAGAGGGGCTTGGATCCTTGAGGTGAAGAACTAAAGTAGTAACCCTATTTTCTGTCATATCTTAATCCAGCAGACTTTATCTCATTATACACAAAAACTTTTATTTTCCCAGTTAGTGTCAGTACCTGGGACAAGGAGGAGGCCAAGTTGTTTCAAGCATAGATGGAATCCAGGCACTGGAGCTTCACTGAAGCTCTTCCAGCTTTCCCACAAAATACCATGCTGCATGTTTGCAATTTATCTTGTGGACCACAGAAATGGGAAAAACAGAGGATAGAAAAGCTATTTCTGACAGGGATATGCCAATTCCTTTCACATAAACGCAGTATTTTTGTGTATCCACCACAAACACTGTAGATCGTGAGAGACTGCTAAGTACTGCAAGCCACAAATCTGAGAAGTTGCCCTTAATGTAAACACACCCAGAGAGGGAAGAAAGTCAGAAAGTAAGTCCTAGTATTGGCATACAGTGTTCATTTGTGTTGCTTGTACTGAAAGAACAAACCTAGAGGTGAATATTGAATTGCATCCTTGATCAAACTGTCTGGAGCAAGATGAAACTGCTGGTAATCTGTGCTGTTAATGAAGTTTTCATATGGTCACTTTGTTGTGCTGCTTTCATAGAAGCCCCATCTAGTACACTGTGTCCCTCATTGGTTGTATGGGCAAGGTTTATGGCTTCCTTTTTACTGTCCCATGCATAACTTATCTTGCATTCTTGTCCACCCACACATATACATACTCCCAAAATATTTCTCCATCTTTATGTCTATGGATCCTTGCTCTTTTGTGTTCTGGCTAAATTACATGACAACACTAAGTTTTATTGTTACATTTTACCATTTCCTTCCCTAGCCAGCTCTAAACTTCACAATTCTTTCTGGGGGCCACATCCTGCTTCAGAAAGCCTGCTCTGCTCCCAGTCTCAGGCTTGCTAGATTTGGGGTGGCTTGCAGAGAAGGAACATTACCCCCCCTTGGAGAGACTCAGGTAGTAGTTATACATATGGTCCTGAATGTAAAGGGAAGGTATAATCGTAAATGTAAAATCTCTAAGTGTACTGTTAATGTAAATTTATATCTCTGCCTCCTATAATGCAGCAAAGTTAGACTGGGTTTTTGACTAATCACTAGCTTTAGGTGTACTGTGCATAGGACTTACGGTGCAGTACTGGGTGCAACTGCTTTGTTGATAAGAAGATAGTGCTTGCCACTGTCATACAGGGTGCAGTGCAGAGTCTCCTTGCTGAGGTCACCTGTCTTCTACCATCTCTGATAACTACCCTTGACATAACAAAAAATCAAACCTGTTTGTTGGCAGTGAGGCTGAACTCTGCCTCTCCTGATTCACAAAAGGAAAAAGCCAAGAAGGAATGGCTAAAAGCACCTGATTATGCTTTTTTGTGACCTTACAAAATGGCTGTTCTACAGAAGTGCCTGCCTCTTTCCCAGGCTGCCTGTCGCTTTGTAAATCCTCTGCTAAGCATATTGAAGTTCCCAGGAGATCCCATACTGTCTTAGTCCTATTTTAGCTGTTATGGCATCAATGTGTAGCACAGTGGAGACACCAGGAAAGTTTCTATTGGGTACTTTGGAGAGTGATTTTACTGACCTGTGAGCATCACACGATACTGGAAGACACGGTGTACCACTTTCAGAAGCTGGTGTTTCACACTGTAAGGGCTGTCACCAGAGTGCTGCTGTCCTCAGTGGAAGGGAAGAAACACAAAGATCAGGGGGGATGTGAGCTCAGCAACAAATTGTCATCTTAGATGTAATCCTAGTTATTAGCTCTAACACATCCTCAAAGAGCTTGATAAGAAGTGACTGAGAAACCACTCCACTGTGTTTCAGCAAAATACACTCACGGATTTGTAGATTCAGCAACACACATTCTGTATGCACACACATAGTGTGTGGACAAGAGAGACAGAAACAAACACATCATGCACCAGTGAACTTCCCACTTCAGTTTTAGCACCAGGGCTGTGAAAGAAGACTATTCTTCCATTCTACCCTTTGTGTGAGCATTGGTGGAGTTCCAGAAAAAAAAATAAAATCCTTGAGTAATCCCCATAGCAAAGCCATGCATTAGTGCATGTAAAAAAAGTGTGAGCCTTACCTCAAACTCCTGAATCATGGTAGCCAGTTGGGAATATTTAAGGCACGTTTCATCTAGCAAAGCCAAATTCCTGTCAAACTGCATAATATATGCTGTGTGGTGATTTAACCTTGATTTTCTGGAGAGAAAAACGTCAGCAACTTTCTGGTGTTCATCCCTAAGGCCACAGAAAGAAAACAAGCAGCAAATAAACAAATAAATAAATAAAAGTAAAGAAATAGAGCCATACTTCTTGCTTATTGTATTAGAGCAACAGTGCCTCTGTACACTGCGCACCTAAAGTCTAGGCTGAACAGCAGGAAAGAGGGAGTCCTTCAGGACAGACTGACAACACCACAGGCTGCTGTAGCATGGGCAGCATGGGGAGGAATGTGCCTCTGCCATAGCAGCACTGTGAAGCTCCTTTCAGGACATGGCTCCTGCTTCTATAAAGAGACCTTCCAACTGCTGCAGTGCTTTGAGCACTGTTTGTGGGGGAGAATATGATATTTGTTGTAATATCAGATCTTCAGCTCTTCTTCACTGCCTGTTCTTCAGCACTGCCTCCCTGTCATCTGTCTCAATATTCAGATGCGCAGTATTGTAATATTTATAAAGCATGTACAAGAAGAGAGCACAACAAAATCTGAGTTCACAAAAGAGAAATCATACTTAACAGAGTAATGTGAATACCTGGGGATGTCCAGAGCAACAGTCTATGTTGTCTGTGCAGACACAGGGAAGGACTTACTGGAAGCTTCAGGTGTGGCAATGACCTGTGACCCAGTGTGAGTACAGGTCTATAACATATGTTGTTAAAGACCTATAATATGTTGTTATAGACGTATAACGTATCTGTTGTGTTGGCAGCATTTGCAATACAGTCCTCTTCTATCCCCAGTGCCACAGAGTAGTTCTGAACAGAGCTCTCAGGGCATTTATGGTTGCATTCCTTTTGTCTTAGGGAACTGGCAGCATGCTGTTAGGGTAGAGTTGTGGCTTCTTTAGTACCCAAGACATTTTAGATGCCAGCTGGAAACACTATGTCTGTTTGTGTTCTAAGTGTATAAATCATAAATCATTGGTAATACTTTTTAAGTCTTTCTGCCAACAGTCCCTTGGTAGGCACAAACCAAAACCCTTTCCTTGTTGTTTGCTTTGACTGGGAAGTGCAGGGCTGCAAGGAGACCTGTGCCCTACATTTAGGTTTGTTACTGAAAAATTCTCCTCATTTAACTGACTTCCTAAATTTCTCAGTGGCTGTGCAGAAATAGGATCATCCATTCTCAGTGACCACTGACTCCCGGAGTTTAGCAAGTTGGAGGTGTAGGGCTTCAGGGTCCATCATTCAATAGAACCTGGCAGGCTGGCTTAAGTTAGGGGTCTCCTCAGCTGAATGAATTTTGGAGTGTTGTCTGTCCTAGTCATGGTCTTATTCTCTCATGGAAAGGCTTTGCCCTCTAAGGATGTTTGATGGAGTCTCATTAACAGGGTGCCAGTGTCTGTTTGGCTTGGAAGCCTGGGGTAGCAGATCCCTGTCTTGGTGCTGGGAGCAAGGGGCTGTCACTTAACTGAGAGCTACACAGCTGTTAGGTAAATTTCTGTAAGCAGATGATCTTTAGGATCAGTTCTGATGTAAGTTCTTCCTGCTTCCCACAGCATGAGTCTGTGACCTTGAGGCCATGAGTGTGAAGCCGCTTGGTGATGACTGAGAACTGACAGGGGATAATGCATATGAAGCTGGCTGTTCTCACGCTGACTGACGGGCCTATTTCAGAGTCATGGACTGTTCCCTGCAGACATATTTCAGCATTTGATTTCTTAACCTGACAGCCTTTACATTTACTTTCTTCCTGTCTACACAAAATCTGCTAAAGTAGTTCAGGTTCTACTCTTTTCATTTCTGCTGGGAGGGTCAAGGGAACACCAATGAGTTCACCCATCTGCTGTGGAGGGTATGCCATTCTGTACTTGCCATTTAAGGACTCTCTCTTCCAGTTCTTCCAGGATGTCTTGGTGTAATTCATAAATTTCAGGGAGTTCACTTAAACCCTGTTTAAGTTTAACTTCTTGTTCATTTTCATCATCATCTCCAAGCACTTTCAAGATACCTTCATAGAAATCCTGTGAACAACAGCACTGAAATGAGGCAAACAGACTTAAAATATCTTTTCTGAAATTATTATTACACTTTCTCGACTACTAAACTATGCTTTCTAGGAATTAAAAGATATGCTATCAACAGCAATAGTGTTCAGTATAGCAAGGACATAAATAGAATATGTTTTCTTCCATCCATTAGTTCATACAGAGTTTCAGCTGAATTCCACAATGCTTTCAATCTAAGATGGAACATTACATCATATCAAGCCATAAGACCCTTATGCATACAATGATTTGGTATCTTTTTATTTACCTTTCCTTTTCCCCCTGCTTTTCTGGGTGTGATTTGTCTCATTTTTACAGCGTTTCTTAACGCACAACATAATTTTTAAAGATGGAGGATAAAATTCTCACCTCATTGGATCCAACAGTTTGACATGGAAAACATGAACAACTACATGCCTTGTGCTAGAATTTGCACTAGCTACACTTCTGAACTTAAATTTAAGCTATGGAACAAATAATTTTCCCTGTGACACCTGAGTCCTTTCTTCCTCATCTTAGACACAGTTTTCATCATGATTTTCAAATTATATAGGCATAGGGGCAATTTCCTCTATATTAAAATGTAGCCAGCTCTGGTATATAATAGGGCACCAACTTCAGAGTGCCTAACAAAATGCTTTCCCAGGTTTGAATTGCCAAGAAATAAAATTGTGTTCCCTGAACTTTTAGGGACAATCTTATGAACTTCCCTGGGACATACTGGGATTTACCATGGCATTTCTCATGAGTCTGGCTTCTGTTTAGTTAATTTTTTTTAAGTAGATAGGATTATTAAGGAGGAGTCTAAAAAGCATAAAACTTGCTAATGTCCAGGCATGAGCAACTCATCAGAGTATGCTTCACTGTGAATGTATACTTTACTTTACATTAGATCACCCACTTTGGACTGACTAAATCAAGGTTACTGTATTGATTTCAGCATGGTGGGATCTGGTTGATATGACTGTGATCCTGCTGAAAGGTCCTCATCTTACAGAACAGGAGAGACTCTAGTCAAAAACTTAAAAATTCTCTCATTGATAGGGACTGAATCCAGGCAAGATCAGGTTTTAGTCTCCTCAGACTCATTCCTGGATTTTATGTTGTCACTGTCAACTGCCATGTCCACACTGTCTCTCTATGAACTGGAATTACTGGATTATCTAATGGATACTAGACAAGAGTCACACATACACAATATTGGGGGTTTTTAGCAACTATAATAGCCGAAACATTTGTTTTCTGAAAAGCCACTAGACCTAGGTAAAGAAAAGATCGTGATGACAATTTTCTTTTTGATTAACTATATTCTGAACAAAACAATATCATAAAGATTTCTGAAAAAGTATTACTATGTTTCCCAATTATCGTGTCTGATTTCCATAACATGTCCCACCCCAGTACAATATATAATCCCAATGTTGTGTCATTAAATTTGCAAATTTTTCTGATGTGAGTTAGCCTATCTAAGTTCATGTTTCAGATAGTGTATAATGCAGAAGTTTTTCAACCAACTAAACCAATCAATCTGTCTTCTGGATGCTTTTACTGACCCAAAGGAATCTGCAACCTTTCAAAGTCCTCAGTCATCATAATTAATCCAGACTAGGCAAAGGAAAAGAATCTAAAGGGTTCTCTCAATTTATTGTGCCTGGGCAGGTGAATAGCTTGTAGTTCACTACTGATGTGCTAAAGTAATCTATTATGTTACAAAGATGTCATCTTTCCCAAATTAACATCAAACAGCTCTCTATCTCTCCACCACAACTGAGCAACAGGATTAACACTCCTTTCCCACTGAGCATCTCAGTGGATTTAATTAGTTATTGTCTGTCCCCTTGATTATAATGAATTCTCTGACAAATAATTGGATAGCCAGCTTTCTAATGATTAACAAAAACCCTGCAGCATAACAGTAATCACTATAAACATCCATTAAAAATAATTATGTCACTGTTGAAAATGCTGAGTGCCTGTGAAGCCATTAATCAAATGCAAAGTGCTTTTCCAGTCTCACTAACTGTAATCAATCACGGCACCTGAAGGTCTCCAAGTCCGACACAAAAGCCCAATGTCTAAGTACAGGATGTACTAAACACAGAGTCCATATAAATCCCTGATGGATCAAAACCTTCTTAAAACAGCTTCATGAATTGAAGTTGTTCTGTTCAAGGCTCTGGTGTGATAGCTACAAAGCTCAATCTCATCCAGGGGTGGATGAGCCTACAGGTCTCCCATCAGTCTTATGTCTGTACCTGCATGTGCATGGGAAAGCATAACCCAAGCTGCCTAGGTGACACAGGTTAGCAACTCAGCTATAAAAATACATTTCTGAAACATAAACATTTTCATTACATTTTGGGCATCCAAAAAAGTCAATTTCTTATTTTTCATCTTCTAAAGCAGTCGTGTAGACAATTCTAATCTAGTCATAATAGAAATCCCAGTCCTAGCATATTGACCACAATGGCAGGAGAACAGAAGGAGAAGGGAGGACACCACCTTTACTACTGTCTTTGTTGACAGTAATTTTTTAGTCCTGTGGTTTGACCAACAATTGCTCTGCAGGTGGGAATCGAAGCTCCTTCTCACCGGCTCACACCATTGTGTTCCTAGCATCAGGCCTGCATTTGAGCTAGAAATTGTAACATTCTAGTAGAAAAGGGTGATTGTAGAACAAAGCCACTCTTTAACAGGCCAAGAGGAATATCTGAAACAAATAGTATTTCGGTGAACAGAAAGTGCACATTATATGAGAAGGAACACACTGTGGCTGAATTACAAAAGCTCTGGATGCCTGCAGTCTAAGTATTATGGGTGACCTTGATTCCAGATCATGGAAACAGTCTTAACCTGCTCTTTATTGCATTGTCTCATTGGGAGGAACAAAGGTTCGACAAAGCAGAATAGAGCTGAACCACTTCCTAGATTTTGAATTAGATTTATGTTGTTAATCTTAACTCGAAAGGACCCAATGCAATGCTTTGAAGAATTTAAGCATCTGCTGTTCTTGCAGTCACCTGCTAGAGAAAAACGACATAAATTTACACCAGGCAGAGGCCTGACCTTTATTGCTGTCATGGCTGAATCAGCTTTTCTGCATATATCTCTAGTCTGTATTAAAGAAAAGGGAAAGGTCTGATGGGTGAATAAATTCCCCTGGGATATTTCAGAATTTTCAGAATAGACATGTGAGTTTCCATTAGGGAGCAACACTGAAAAAAAAAATAAAAAGGGAGTGAGTGTACAGAGCAGATGCATTAGAGGAAAACCACAGCTATTTTTCTGCCTTAGTCTTCATGTGAGGATACCAGCACTTCAGCTGCAGGAATCATGTCTGTACACAGTGTGTCTACCTTGTTCACACTACAACATCCACCTGGCATCCAGACTTTTATGGTTTTCAGCAAAGTACATACATACATCAACATACATGCATACAAAATAATTTTACATGTATATCTAGAATTGCAACTGCTTCCCTAGTCAAGCTGGTATTTTAACAGACTGATACTAATGGGAAGCCTTCATATTTGACACTCACCACTGGTGAGGGGGCCAGGGAGGACAACAGGAAATCTTATTTCAGCTCAAATTATGTAAGTAGAGTCTACACTAATTGCACAAAATGATGCAGGATTTTACAACCACTTTCACTTCTAAAATGAGGGTGGATTCAATAGATTCTGCATATTGCAGAATCCAAAGCTCTTTTGGACATCTAGGCATTATACCTGAGGGGAGGGTGAAGAGTCCAAAGGGGGAGAAGAGAGCCTCCATATTAAAGCCAAGTGCAGACGTGAAGTGCTGTACAGTATCTTATGAACCAAGTCTAACTTGTGGTAGTTCTTGGAGGTATCCCCATGACAGTCAACAACCCCTCTCCTAATGATGAAAGTGGCACTCCTCAAATAAAAAGTGACACATCTCCTGTAGCAGACTGAATGACTCCTGATCTGTATGGGGCAGTGATCTCACATTTCTCACTACCAGACTCAGCAGAAGCAATGCCAGATGAACAGCAGAAAACGCTATCGCAGCAGCCACAATTAAGTTTCTTATCCTGCCATGTAGGGTACAATCTAGGTCAGGAACCCTGACCTCAGCATACACTCACATGCAGCCAAATAGACACATTCTTCCAAAACACACTGCAAATGAATTTCAGAACCAGCGGACTGTACAGTATGCACTGAGTATACTGTATCAGTGCAGCTTTTTACCAGGGAATTGGCCTGGATCCACACATCTGATCCAGATGTGCTGGTGTGGTTTCCTTCTCATTTTAAGAGATATACAGATTATCTGATAGCTATTTTGACTCAACATTCCCACTGTGGAATCTCCCTGGCCAATACATTGTTATTTTCCCACTGCCAATGAAAACAACATTAAATAAATAAATGAGAAAAAATTCAGCCCAGTGTAAGTGAGGGCAGTCTATTCTTTTTTAACTCTGTGTGTGTGTGTTCTTAGGCTTTTATAAGAGCTTCAGAGGGCCTAACAGTGAGCTAGCTCTTTGTTTAGCCACCATATTGCATTCACTAAAACATTTAATTAGGAAAGTAATGACTGATTGGTCCAGCAGAACCTTGAACATCATCCAAGAAATTCACAGTAGTAAAAAAGACTCAGAAAATCACTCACTGGAAGTGTAAATAATTAGAAAGATGGAATTATCTTTTGTCAAGCATGTAGCAGTGATTCCTAAATTAGGCAGGTAATTTTTGTTCTTGAGAATGTGCCACACACAAGAATTCTGAAAGCAGAGTTTAATCAATGAAGTTTAATCTCAAGTTAGAGGCTTGAGCACTAAGATTATTTTGTTCCTTTTTACTTTCTAAGATTTATTTTGCAGTCATGAACATTGGGATGTTCAGTGCATCCAGGTTGAAGCTGCTCCAAGCTGCTCTTAAGGCTGAAGAACCAGCACATATCTATTCTTACCATATTCATATCTGTACCTCCAAATGCTTAGGTAGCATAAATCTGTGTCTCTTTGTTTCTAACAATTGTGGTCCCTTGTTATGAGGAAAATGCAAACCAGGAAACAGGATTAATTTTCTTTTTAAAAGGAGGTATTTGGGCTGATGTCTTTTCAGTGCAGAGCTGTTCTTAATTCAGTAAATATCTTGGAAGGAAGTAATAACTACTTCAAAGGGGTTTATGTGCACACAAAGAAGGTAATTTTATGTAAGCCAAAGGCAAAATAAAAATGAACATGGTTCTCTAACAAAAATGAAAAGCGAAAGAAACATGACCATGATACACTATCAAGCAAATGCTTGATCCCATACAGAGTAGGATCCTGAAGGAGTCAGAGTGACACCAAGTTTGATTTGTGTACATCTTGTATAGGCATTTCAAACAGACCAGCTGAAGGGAAGCAAATGAACTTTCTTGGTGATGCATGAAATTTTATGCAGAGAAAGCCACCTGCAGCGTTTTGTTCAGGAGCAAGCACTAAGAAAAGGATGTTATGTGCAGCCTGCATTGCTGGGGAAGCATAATAGAAAACAGAATGACAAAGCTTGAAGATTAAATTATCCTGAAGGAAACTCAAAGACTAATTAACTTCGGAAAAACTGTGAGTACCAAGAAGTCATGAACTTGTCTAAAAGGCCCTGCCAGTTCCATCTGACCAGAACGAGTTCTTAACTCCCTGCTCCAGAGAACTGCATTAGCTTTGAGTAAGGCAAGTAACAGCTAATCTTTTAGATTATTATCTCTACTACCACACCAACTGATACCAAGTTTGTGAGCTAACACAATGTTTCCAGTCTTTCAGTTCAGTAGCAGAGTGGGTGTATGGAAATGTCATCATTTTGGCAATCAATCAGTTTATTAAAGTCTCCACTGAAAGGCCAGACAGATTCTGTTATGCTGAATGAACAGCAGCACTAGCCAAGCCTGCAAATGAGATGGGAAATTGCTCCTGCTGCAGGCTTAAGAAAAACCTTTTTTTTCCTTTCTGAAGGCAGCTAGGGTGTGGTTTATTTCTTTGCCTTCCTTACCAATATGTTGATTTACATGAGAAAATGAAACTTGAGTCTTGATCATAAGCATTTAGAAATCATTTTCTTGAGAAGGTGGTGGGAAACAGAAATGTATGCCTGGGTTGAGGAACATTGTCAAGGAAGCCTTTGGTCCTAACTGGCCATGAACAGTGTTTTGCACCTTGAAAGAAATTTGGTGACTGTGGTCACTTTTGGTCACTTGTGATTGCTTCTGAAATCTGCCAGTGGAACTTGTGTCAACAGCAAGTGCACAGGAAAGCATGTTTTTTTGCTGATGTGACTATTCCTTAAACTATTCAAATATGGAAAAAAGAGAGATTAGATTATTGTATCTTCTAGTGTTATGGCAGTATTGAAAATTGCCTTGGATAGGCAATATTACCCCCACATTCTAAGGGACTTACATATTATAAAATTGGTAATGGTTTCTCTAGATATTCTGAACAATACACTGGGCAACAGGTGAATATAAAGATCCAACATCAGTTGGGATTGAAAAAGTGACAGTGTTTTCTAGATTGAACGTGTTTACAATGGAGAAACCTGCAGATTATTTCTGAATGCCACTGCAGTAGGTAGGTATACAGATGTCAGAGTACAGCAGTAGAGATGGGGTATGCCAGGGTGACAGGCAGTCAATGAAACAAAGAAATAAACCCTCTGAGCCTGTTTCCACAAAGATTTTTGACCTCTTCTAAATCCAAGAGTGCCTGGACTAGCAGACAAGTGTGAAAACAGACTGCCTGTTTCTATCTTCTCCCTCATTCTCTGACACTGGTTCTATTCATGCATCCTCACTAGTTAGAAAGCCAACTCATACAAACAATTAAATCTTATCTGAGCAACTTGCTTGTTGGCTCTGCTGAAGAAAAGCCTCCTGTATCCCCTAAAGGAGTGTATGGGTCAAGACGCATGAGAGCTTTTCCACCGTATAAGTCAATAATTAATCAAAATTGTGATTTTGCCCTTCTTAAACTTCATACGGTTGGTGATCGCTCATCTGTCTGATGGCTCCTCTCAATTCTAAAACTGATGAGATTTCATCAAACTTTCTAACCCAGGGAATTGGGACACAGAATGTCACAATACATAGTTACAGTTATCCTGACATTTCACAACCTATAAGTGGCTTAACTTTGCCCACCAGTACATTCATTCAAGGGTTTACTTTATGCCCATCTCTTACTTTCATTTGACATATTAACTTCTCTTTTTTTTTCCTTTTTATCTTTTCCTTCGTTATTTTCATAACTAGGAAAATAATGAGAACATGCAAAGTATTCATAAGATCCCTTTACTCCAGAGGGATAGTCAGGCAGGGAAGCAAATTTCACTACACAGGGATTTACCAGAGGAAGCAGAAAAGGGAAGAGATGGGGAAAGTCCTGAAGCATTTCTTTCCTGACCCACTAACAGCATAGGCAAGGCAGCCTGACAGTAATATGGTGCTATAGCATCCATGAGGGTGTGCAGCCATTTATTTTGTGGATAAAGACACTGAAGTACATTTCAAGATTTTAAATAGATCAGGAAATTTGAAATATAGATCAGGATCTATATATTGAAAAGTTTACTGGCATTAGTAAGCCACTTTTATCTCATAGAGGTATATGGAAAATGCCAGGATATAATGCAAATGAAATGCCTCTCCTCAACACCTCCACTTAATGCTCTCCCTCTACTGTATACACGCTCTGCTTCAGGTCTGCTTTTACATGCTGTCTGTAATGTACCAAAGCAGAAATGTATTTGGAAAAGGAAAATTAAATAGATGAAGAATATTTTAATGAAGGTGCAGAGAGGCCAATACTTTCTGTGCAAGGTCATTTCCTGTATAGATATTTATTTTCTTTGAAGCTGGCAAAGCCTTGTCCTTTTCTTTTTCTTTCTGATACTTTTGAAAATATTAATTTCAGTAAGGAGTTCCTTGAGTGTTCTCAATGGTCAGAAGCCATGTATCCCACAGATGAAGAAAGCACCCTGGCTTCCCCATGGAACAGCAGATAACTACGCTATGTCTCACTGGTGTCAAATAATGTGTTTGGTGGTGCATAGATCAGAGGAAAGCCAGGACAGAAGAGGAAAATGGCTAGGCAGGTTATTACCAAGTTATCAAAGTATCGGCAAATTAATTAGCTAAGCATCTAAGTCCCTTAAGGTATCTGATTCTGCTGCTTTGGTAGATTGCTCAAGAGGCACAATGAACAGGCAGCAATATCACAGAATCATAGAATATGCTGAGTCGCAAGGGACCAATCAGGATCATCAAGTCCAACTCCTGGCCCTTTACAGGACACTCCAACAATTCCACACTGTGCCCAAGAGCATTGTCCAAATGCTCCTTGGATTGAGATAGGCTTAGTGCTGTGACCACTTCCCCAGGGGAGCCTGTTTCAGTACTCAACAGCCTTTTGGGTAAAAACCCTTCTTCTAATACCCAATGTCAACCTCTGCTAATTCTGCTCCAACCATTCTCTTGAGTCATGAGAGTGAAGAGATTGGACCCGCCCCTCAGCTGCCCCTCAAGAGGATATTGGAAATCTCAATGAGGTCTGACTTCAGTCTCTTCTTCTCCAGGCTGAACAAACCAAGTGTCCTCAGCTACTCCTCACAGGGCTTCCCCTCCAAACATGTCCCCACCTCTGTGGCCTCCTTTGGACACTGTCTAAAAGCTTAATGTCTTTTTTTATACTGTGGTGCTCAAAACTGCCCCTAGGACAGGAGGTGAGACCGTGTCAGTGCAGAGCAAAGCAGGACAATCTGTGGACAGTAGGTCCTGCTGTGCTTAATGCCCCTGCCAGACACAGCTGGCCCTCCTGGGTGCCAGGGCACAGCTAGCACAGATCCATACCAGCCAGCAGGACCTCCAGGTGCCTTTCCACAGTACTGCTTTCCAGCCTCTTGTTCCCCAGTCTATATATACAGTCAGGGTTGCCCTGTTGCAGGCACACAATCTGGCACTTGTCCTTGTTAAACTTCATATGGTTGATGATGATGACCCATCTCTCTAATTGGTAAAGGTCTCTCTGCAAGACCTTTCTGCCTTGAGGGAATTGACAGCTCATCCCAATTCAATGACATGGTCACAGTATCCTTTGAGTTCTGACCTCAAAAAGTAAATTACTTTTACTGACAAAGTCATTATTTTACTGACAAAAGTACTGACTTGTCAGTACTCAGAGCCGCCATGGGCAGCGGAGGCCGCCATCTTGGGGGAGGGGTTACTCTGCCCCCTGGAGTTTATCTTTGCTCCTGGGAGTTTGTGAGAGCTCAGCAACTTTGTAACTAGTGAGTATTACTGTTGTTTTTTGCCTGTTGCTGTTTCTTTTTTCATAGAATGGTATTTTTCCACTTATATCCACTCCTGTTCCTTTCTCCTTATTGGTGGAAAGGGATTTGTTAAAGCAACGGGGAGGTAACTCATGTTAGAGTATCCTCCTCTTAAGTTGTCTCAAACCAAAACACTGTGACACAGTGTGGCTATGCAAAGCACACTGGCAATTACCAATACTGCATTATCAGAAAACAAGAAGCTTAAACGGAAGCAGAGTGAGTCCATTGAAACGAAATCCCCATGCTTCATAGCTCAAGTCCCATCTGTCTCACTCTGAAGGGAGAATGTTCACCCCTGGTTTATCATCATTTTCTTCTCTGCACTAGGCTTATTCTGCATCTTACACCAGTCTCAGCATCAACAAACCCCAACTGTTGGTCAATGCTTTTCCCTCTAGATGACAAATAGTAGATTTGAATGATTCACAGTAAGCCATTCCTCCTCAAATTCACTTAAATCCCTTCAGTGCTTTTCTGTCTTTTAAATTGCAGCTAAATAAAAGGGTATCTAGGCTTCAGTGATTAAAATTATTTACTTACCATATGCAACAACTGGAGCATTTCCACATATCTGGGGAGAAAGACAAACTTTTATTAACTGTCATCAAATGAATACTGAAGGGTGGACTGCATAGCTTCAATTTTAGAAGAGCAACTGGTACATTGTAAAAACAAACTCACACTTTTTCTGAAGACATTAGCTCCTGGGCAATGAGGTAAGCTCTAGACTGGCCTTCCTTCTGTCAACAGAAGTCAGAAGCAATTAAGAGATTTCTCATTCTACAAAGTAAAGCAGTGTTAGATACCATTTGAACCATATATAGTAAAAATAGTGACCAGACATTAATTCTTTGTTGTTCAGTGTCTGGCATCTTGGACTTTCCACAACAGGCCATTTCCCAAATTCAAATGCTAGTAATATAGTACAATATAATAGCTGCTAATACAGATGGCAAGTTTGAAAAATGTTTTGCTATTGAAGGAGGAGTGAAATTTTCTGTGGATTTTTACAGGTCCAAAATTTGTCAAAGAAGCAGAAACTGCTTAACTTTGAACAGACTAGCTTCATGGCTGTTGAGGATATAGCACTTGGAAAAGGGAGTTCTTTATCAAAATGGTCATATTCCAAACTGTTCTGATTGCTGTCAGTGAGACCTGTGGAAGCAAATAGGGAAAAGGGCTTTATTGCATACTAAACAAAGTGTCTAAACAAAATGGCCATAAATATCTCCAGAATTACTTCAATACTTCACCAGACAACATTGTTTGAAATCTCAGAGACATCTGTTTAACTGGTAGGCATCTTGGAAGACGCAGATAACTGCGGAAGAAGCAAACTGTATGGCTCTGAGGTGCAAGTGACTACCTCAAGGCACACAAATCTGTAATTCCCAACTCCAGCACCTTTCAGTTTTGTGCATGTGCACATGAGTGCATATTTTAATATGTTAAAGGTTTGCAAAACACAATGATTATTAGAGTCTGGAAACCAAGCCCACCCAGTGGAAATGTGTAAGGAGCAGCAAAAACATTCTTACGTACTGCTGCTGTTGAGTCAGTAGCTGCCCTGCTTGTTTTGAGACCTTTGAGACTCTGCTTACTGTTCCCTGTTTGTGTGCAGCTCAAGTACCTTCTCCATCTGTCTTTTTTGACTCAACTGTAATTTTAAATCCTCAAGATTGCAACCAAATGCTTTGGAGTGAGACATTTTTCCTGACATTCAAGTCGGGCCTTTCTTGCTGTTTATGTTGCCTCCGCTGTTCAATTTCAGACAACATTCTTTGCTTTTGCTGTGTGCAGTAGAGGTAAATTATTCCTAGTGTAGTGGGGGAGTAAAGGACTGATGGCTCTACTATTTCTAAATGAGCACCAGACAAAAAGCAGAGAGAGCTGAGAACCCAGGTTCTTCTGCAAATTACTTTTCCCTCTCCAGGTTTCATGTGTTAACCATTTTTAGCTTTCTTTTTACCTTGTTGGTAAGACTGGGATCACCAAGGCTGCTCTCATCATCTTCTGAACTCTTTTGTTCCTCATCTGATGTGACAGCTTCCATTGGTGTCACAGAGACTGGGCACACCTTGTAGGGCTCAGTGTAGGCACTGCAGAAAAACAGAACAGACTAGCTCAATGGTGCTATTCCCAGATTCACTGTGGTCAGACATATAGAATCTCTGCAGAACCACAGGACTTGGAAAGCAAGATTTATCAAGCAGGGCTGTTTTTAGCTGCTAGGTTCAAAACCATTTAGGCAATCAGAAGACTCTGAAGGAGCCATGGGAAGTTAACCGAACTTGGTCAAGCTTCCCCAAAAGACCAATGTTCTGGCCCAGTTTGGAGTAAAAACTTCATACTTAGTTGCAACCAGAACTGCTTTGTTCTTCCCTAGACAACCCCTCAAAATAGATACAATAAAATCACACTAACATTTTAAAATGGAAGTTAGATATTGTGACAATGGGTTTTCTGGAAAAACATCAAAGGGATGAGAAAAGTATAATGGCAATACCAATGACATCAATTAAACAACAAGATACTCAGGCTTCAGAATCCTCAAGTTGTTTCAAGGGAATATGACTTCAGCTCCAGATACCCAGAGAAAGCTGTGCAGTAAGAGTACTGGACCTGGTATGAAACACAGGCCAGTGCAATACAGGCCTGTGGCTTCACAGCATTTTATTTTTTTTTTTTTTAATTTCCAATTAAAATTGCCAGTGATCTCAAAACCTCCGCTGAACTGTGTATGCCTAGCTCCAAATTCCAGTTGCTGGATCTTGTTAAACCTTTGCTGAATGGGTGGCAGTCTTCCAGATTTTGTTACTGTGTACTTACAAGCTGTATTTGAGTTGCTTCTTCATTTTGACTTTTTATTAAATAGGTGAAGATTTTGGTGTCTTACTACATTGTGCCACCTATGATTTAATAATTCTAAAATCTCTGAACTTCATCCAATTATCCATTAGCATTATTCAATTTACCAGCCATTTTAGCATCAGCTTTTGCTGCCATCCAGTTTTGATATGCTCTTGGTATAGCAACACATAACTCATTAATTCAGCACTGGCAAAAGGTGTATACCAAGCTGTATATATCAGTTCTAACACCCATCTATTCCTACCTGACTTTACTGAGCTTTCACTTTCAAGGATCAGATTGGGTTTTTTGACTAGTGTCATTCTGGGAGCTTATATACAACTTATACACCACAGTGGCCCCAAGTCTTTTACATTTCCAGGGCAAGGTTCCAGTGTTCAGCCAACAGGGCAAGTCTTTTGTCTTGAGAAATAAAATTTGACTTCTCCATGTTTTCCAGCAGACATGTTGGCCAGCCAGGTCAGGCTGTAATGTGGGCCTGGATAACTCAGTTTATATTATTTCTATACTTCTCATTTCCTCTGAAACATTAACTTCCTTCCACGGATCTGTTTCATCTCTTGATTTTTCTTTAATCTTCCACTTGGAGATCCCAGACGTGAACAAACACAAGGCTTCAAAGCCAATACTAGAGTAATAGAAGGCTGGGCAAAGACGAGCTAATGTAAGTGAGAGGACAATGATGAGACTCCCAAGGTCACTGACCAGATTTTTATTTCCTTTCAGAAAGGAAACTCCCTACATATCTGCATTTACTTCTAAGCCGAAAACAGGGCTATGTGTCTCCCATGCAAGTGTGGCTGTCAGCCTTTCTGTTATGCCTCCAGCTTTTCCCTTACATGCAGAGTCCAGGAGCTCTCACAGGCTGCCCAGTGCGCTTGTCATGGCTGGGCAAAGGGCCAAGCCATAAGACTGTTCCTCACCATTGTCTACTCTGGATTATTAGTAGTATCTACAGTTTTTCAGTTTAGGTGACATCACCATATTTTGAAAACCTGTCCAGCTTCAACAGCAAAGGGACCTCGAAACAAGAGCGAGGAGAACACAGGAATAGCTCAGGAGACTTAAAAATGTAGCCAGTCTCAGTCCTCACTCACACAGTCCTTCTGCAGTTTGTAATTGTATCAGAAGACATGAAATTAAGGTATTCCTTCCTTTTCTCTCTCTCTGATAAATGACTGCATTATGTTAATATAAGAACACATTATAACTTGGGAAGAATGCCTCAGTATATTAGTATTGTAATCATTATGAATGGCACTATTAAAGGTTCATGCTGTACGAAAGCTTGCAATATTGCTAAACTATTGCAAAGCTTTGTTTGCAGTGGACATGCATCCCAGTAGCACCAACTTGAATTTAAAGAGAAGTCTCAAAATGTTATGGATCTCATTTGGACACAGGATACGTGTGGGTGTATTTGTGCCACCATCTCCAGTCTCCTCTTCTGTGACCACTCCAATATCACTCTGGTCTTTGCTTCTGAGACTGCTCTGTATTGTCACAGAAGCTCCTGGGCAGTGCACCTTTCCTGATACCCTGCACATGCTTAATTCAATGAACTCACATGTCATCATCCATCTTTTATGTCTATGCTCCTGTGATCTCCTAGCACTCATAGCTTCCGAAGGCTTGAATTGTGCCCAGGAATGACTAAGTGATACTTTAGTTCATTAAAAGCACTGCTAACTGAGCTTACTGGAAACAATAAGCTTTAATGCAATGGAAGTTGCAAATAACAGTGTGGGTGTGAAGAATAAGGGAAGAAATAGCCCGAGAGTTTGCAGTATCTCGATAGACACGGTAATCCCCAATTCATTCTCTTCCTTGTAGCAATGATTTGGCTGGATGAGAACAGATTGCTGGCACATTATCTGCTGCTCCTTCAGCAACTGTCTGTCATCATTCCAAGAGTGAGCCATCACAACAAAGGGAGAAATGGGCCTTCTGTGACTGTCTGGTGTTTCATTGACTGAATAAATACAGGAGGATATGGTGCAGCAAAAGTCTTTTTAGTTAGCACCAGTTACATTATAATTATTAGCAGAGATGCTAATAGGTACAGAGTAGGAAGAAACTGTATGGAAGCACCCTATTAGTTATGTGTTACTTTTGCCTCTGCACATGTATTGCTACATCTAAAAAAGCGTTCTGGCCTACAGACTCTCTGGTTATCCTGCCCCTACAATATGCTTACATTTGGCCTCAAGTGACCTCAGTGACTGAGGGGAAGGTGAAGCCATCATAGAGAGGGTAGCTGAACTAATCTTTGTACTAGCACTTTGTAAATAAAGTCCAGACACAAGTCTCTATTACCTGTGAACCCTGCAGAGCACAGGCTGGGAAGTTTGAACACAGATGGTGCGTGCATGAGAGAGCACTGTGAAGATACACAACAGGTGTGAGAGCTCACAGAACATGAATCACAAATTGACAAATACTGTATTTTCTCTTGCTTGAATGTGCGGTTCCAAAAGAGATACATACCATTCTTTTATTTTCACATCTGTCCTTCAAATGACCTTGCAAATTCTGACCCATTCCTCAGCAATGATCACATCATTTTTTTAAGGTTTTTAGAAATTATTCAGTCAGTATTAGTGAGATATAAGGATTTAAGTGGGTGATTTAACAGTGGCAAAAGTACCCAGCCAAGGTTATTATAATAAAGACCTATGAAGACCATGTATTCTTGTTTGCAAAACAAAACAAATGCACTTGGCTGTATGTTCATCTCTTGGCCACACTCCCAAGTGATGTCTTGTTTCCTCCTTTAGAGTCACCAGCTCCATGAAAAAAAATAAAACCACAAAACCAAACAAAGAAAACCAAACCAAAAAAAAAACCTGAATTGGTGAAAATCTAAACTTAAGGCCTGTGACTTCCACTGGGGTGATGTAAGTCCTTTGTATCACAAATGATCAGATTGCTTGCAGTTTTCTTTCAATGAATTAAGTCATGCATCCTAAAGAAAAGCTCATAAATCTCACTTGCCTTCTGCTTCATGGTCTATGTCCCAGGAGCAATTATGAGGGGAGAAGGGGAGTCCTCTTTCCTGCAGAGCACCACTCAGCTATGCTTTATACCTGTGGAGTACTCATCCTTTCCACCAAGTAGCTCCTTGTACATCTGAAGTACAGCTGGTTAGGCTGTTGAAATATGCTGGGGGTGTCCCTTCAAATGCTAATGCAGTAGATCCACCCTAGTGCCTATAAGGTATCATCATGTTTGTTGGGACAGAGTTACAGCATATTTCTACCTTGCAACCAGTTCTGCAGCTGACAGTGAAAGTGTCCTAGAAATTTGTTGGTCAGTCAAGAACAATACAGCATCTCCTTGAAGCAGTAAGCATTTGTGCAGGGTTCAGATGTCATGCAGTTTCAGTGCCACAGTGATCATAGAATAATAGAACAGAATTATAGGACAGTTTAGATTGGAAAGGACCTTAAAGATCATCTCGTTCCATCCCTCTGTCACAGGCAGGGACATCTTCCACTAGACCAGGTTGCCCAGGGCCTCATCCAACCTGGCCTTGAGCACTTCCAAGGATGGGACATTCACAGTTTTCCCAGGCAACCCACCACTCTCTAGGTAAAGAATTTCTTCCTAACATCTAATCTAATCTCCCTTCTTTTAGTTTAACACCATTAACCATCCCCCCCTTTTCCTATCACTATCTGCCCATGTAAAAAGACACTCTCTTTTTTTTAAAAGCCCCCCTTTAAGCCCCCTCTTTCCCATGAAAGACACAATGAGATCTCCTCAAAACCTTCTCTTCTCTAGGCTGAGCAAACTGAGCTCTCTCAGCCTGTCTCCATAGCAGAGGTGCTCCAGCCCTCTGAGCATTTTTTTTCCCCTCCTCTGGACCCACTTTAACAAGTCCATGTCTTTCTTTTCAGACCTGTATTCAGTACTCCAGCTGGAGTATCAGGAGGACAGAGTAGAGGGAGAGATTGTCTCCATGTTAATCATATGGTAGGGAGCTGGTCAGCAGAAGACTCCTTTAACTGAACCCATCTCAGATCAAAACAAGTGTGACGTGGCCAGTAAGAACATTCAGATTATCCCATCACAGCTCCTGAGCACGTCCATCATTCTCATGTGTCTGCCCCAGGACAGAGGACTTTTATAACTGTATTTCCATATTACAAAATGCAGTTTCTGGAGGAGGAGACTGGGTAGCTTATCAATAATCATCATCACCAATCAACCTGAATTACTTTCCTTGGACTAAATTGATTTCATTTGGAAGTAAGTTTCAATGTGTTTCAGTTTAAAGAAGGTTATGTACAAGTGCAGCACTTAAGGAACTTCTGCTGTGTTCATATTTGAAATGAACTAATAGTTTGTCTTCATAAGGTATACACTGCATAAAGGATGATCCCAGCTAATAAAACTCAAGAGGTCAGCAAAGGATACCTTGTTTAATGAGTTCCAAAAACAGTGTCCAGGGTGTGCTGATGTTTCAACAATTGTGACATCATTTGGTTAACAGGTATCTGTTTAGCACTCAGACACCCGGACTGCCTGGATAACCTCCTTGCTGCCTCCCTGTGATATTTCACTCTATCTCGCCAGTCAGTATCAGGATGGAGAAAGAGAGAATACTTATTTTCTTTGCACCTGTTGCAAACTGCAAATTGGATGATGCAAATTAATTACCACCAATATACCTGAAGGCCAAAGAGCTTCCCTATATATATTCTGAAAATTTCTTGTTGTTTCAAAAGTGCCTGCAAGTAAAGATCATGGAAGTATTTGGCCAAAACTTTCACCATAAGATGAAGGAAGCAGTAGAAGAGGCTAGAAATCATGTCCTTGGACCCATTTCTACAGTGGAACTGGTATATTAAAGGTGTTTTTGTCAGTAATTATCAACACAGTGCTCACCATATTCAATGTTTACACATAGTCACAATGGGAAGAAAGTGAACTGCCTGCGTTTCTGAGGTAAGCACTGACTTCTGCTCTGCCTGTTATGTGGTAACAGAATACCTTTTTGTCTGGGATATTTCATCCATTCGTTAGCAAAACCATGTTTCTGGACTGCTGAAAGACAATCATTTCAAATATTTGCTAAAGAGAGAATGGCTGTGATATTGAGTTCATTTAGACATAGATCCACCAAAGCTCTGAAATTAATGACAGTTAGGATTCTAAATGTTTTTCTGTGTGTAACAGTGATTGCATTGGCAATTATTTGACCTGAGTCAGCAAAACAAGCTTGTAAGAACTACCTCAGAAGGTACAAAAAGTTATTCTTTCTCTGTAGAGTACACCCTCTACAAATATATCTTCTCTGAAACCAGATGAGTGGTGATGAGCTTGACACATCAGCTCAGATCACATATGCTAAATTTACAAATGACTACTAAATTGCTGCCATAACCTTCCCATCCACAGACTCCACCCTGTGCCCATTTTAACTCCTCTGTCACAGGAATCTGAGCTCATAACTAGTTATAATGTATTGGATGCAAGACCAGAATCTCACCTGGACACAGCTGGGTTATGCAAAACTCACATATATAAAATTCACGCTATGCAGTGGGAAGGGAAAATAATCAACATCTGCAAAGAACCCAACCCTCCATTGTTGGGCCAAGAGGATTGAATCCAGCTTTTTTTCTTCTTGCAGTATCCCTATCTCAAGTCCCAAGCCCAGTGGTTGCTAGTTCAAACTCTCAGACAGTGACATTCTTATTGCAAAAAATTAAAATCGTATGAACTCAATGTAGTGATAGTAATTTGGGAGATATAATGGAATGCTGAAGTACCCTGTTTTATTAAAACTGATTATTTATTTCCCTGTATCCATTTGTAAATGATTGGCTTAATTAATTCTGCAAAAGGGAGGCTCATTACTAAAGGAAATTAAAGTCCAAATGCATTTTAAATCAATAAAAGAAAATGCCTATTATGTGTTTAGCCAGTCAGTTCCCTATGGCAAATCAGCAAGGAAAATACTGTATCTGAAGTCTGAAAAGGGCAAGAAAGACATGATGTCTGCTAATAACATATACAGCCTGTCATGGCAAGGTAACACAGGAATAATCACATTTCATACTCTGAGGCATAAACTGTTTGCCTGCTAAGGCTAGAAAGCTTCAAATTCCACAAGCATTTCAATTTCATTGTTGTGGTGCAAAATACAGAAAGAGGGGAAGAGGATTTTGGTAGGCTTTTGCTGTTTTCCAGACACCTTTATGTCCAAAACTCTCCCAGCTTAAACCACTGCTCCTGGAGATGCTTGCAGAACAACAGTGCTGGTGCAGGTCTAGTATTGGAAGGGAATACAGGAAGTGAGGAGCGCAAAGGTGTTTGGGCTCCATCTTAGGGAATGTCCTCTGCCCAGCCTGGGGCACTATCAGTAGAGAAGGGATAAGAGAAAGCCTGAGAGTTAGGTTTCACTAGCCATGTCCCAGACGTGCTAGAATGGATGGTTTGAGGCTTTTGCTTTGAGGCACCTGTGTAAACCAATCCATACTTCAGGCTCAGTGACATACCCTGTGGTGCACAGCTGCCTGTGAGTACCAGTACTCTCCCCAGTCCTGTGGCTTTAAAACACTAGGTGAAACAAAGCAGCAGTAAAAACTGGACATGCCTGAAAACAAAACACAGTGTCCTTGGGCCTCCGACAAGTGGCATACCCCCTTCCTGCTCTCCCAGGCATGAGGGAGAGGCGGTGAGCTGTGGTGGCCTCAGCTTGTGCTCAGCCTGGCCCTCCAGCCCTCGACCTGCATTTCCGATAAACAGGGAACAGTTCCTCCCCAGAGATGACCTGGCAATGAACTAGCAAGGGCTGACGCTCAGCTGCACCACACCCAGCACCCCACTGTGCCAGAAGGTACAATGGGGAGCCAATAATACATAATATATTATTAAAGGCAGCTCTACCCTTTAGAGACTCCTTTGAACATATTATTTACATCACACATCAGCCATCACAGAGCTTTTACTTCCAATAAATCATTAGTGTCACAGGCACCCCAGAGCTTTTATATCCAACAGCCTCAGCAGAGGTTTTCCTTAAGATTCTTTTTATGCTTCTCTTTTCCTTCTTTCCCTTGCTAAATCACAGCCTTGTTGATCTCCATCACCCTATCATTCCCCATCTGTGATAACCTTTTGCTGTGTTCAGTCCTTGCAATGCAAAGATGGGCGTAATGAAGACCTGAGTGCTTGGCAGTGACAGAAGTACTGTGCTGTGAAATTCTTCCTATTTAATGGTCATGCTTGCTAGTATTGCTGTTTCTGCTGGTGGTGAGGGTTCTTGAGTTATAGGTTGTCAGTGGCTTTCAGGCAGTCAAGTTAGTGATTTCTGCACAAAGGCACACACTGGTGAAGAACACCAATAATGAAAGATGTAAGCTGTACTACTTGCCCAAAGAATTAGAATTCATAAAAACATTGCAGATAAACACTTCAGAAAAAGGTCTGCATCAATCATGGTGTGGGAGTTTTGCAAATGGAGCCAAGCAGAACCAAGGCATTTTTGTCACACACAGGGCTCTCCTGGAGATGTTCCATGTTTGTGTATGGTTCTGATATCTTACAAGCATAATAAACAGGTTTAAAATATTATATAGGTGAGAATCTGATCCAGATGTGTTGCATAGCTGCACAAGGAGCTTATTGACTACAGTGAGCTACACAGAACTAGAATATTTGTACAAGTCCTTTTCCTTAGTGTGTCCAGGTTCATACACCACAGCAGTTGCTCTGTACTTTTGCACATATAGTCCTAAAATTCATTTTGAACTCCAACCTGGATGAGATGTGACTAGGTGTCAGTTAGGTAAACGTGATTATCACAGTAGCAAATGGATGCAACTCATTATAATCCTTTCAGAATTCAGTTTAACATAATTGTAAGTGATAATAGTAGTGAAAACTCAATGGAGGACACCAGCTTGCAGATTGTGTCAGTGAAACACAAACTGAACTTGAATCAATCATCATTTACTGCAGTGATTAGCGATTTTAGTGATCTGTTTATTAACAGAAATCTGAATTCTCGGCACCTGAATCCAAAAGGCATCAGAACTGGTGGAACACAGAGGTGCTGGTTTTTATGGTAGAGAACATTGCCTTTTTTTAAAGCTTTTTAGAGTTGTATTGGGAAAAAGACTTAAAATTAGGATTCCTAGAGCCTTTTAGATTACAGAGAAAATAATATTTCCAATACAGGTAATGACAGTTTTCAGGGGTTTTTTTGATTTCTTTTCAATAAAAGCATATTTTTTTCTAAAATTAGGAAAAGTAGCAGTAACACAGCACCAATACTTTACAAAGTCTGAATCTGCTATGATAGACAAAATACTAATTTCTTGCAAATAGTACCTTGCTTAGAAGTGAAGTTACAAACACCTTGCACAATAGTGAGTCCTAGTACAAGAATTATCTCTAAGTATTGTTATAGTATTACTGAATTCAATTTCATCCATGCGTAAGTAGAATAACACTTGGTTACACACTTAGTAGAATAAGGGCAGAACATGGAATTTCAAAACTGGTATTAGGAACAGTAGGACACCCTTGGTTTGTAACTGCCATTTCCAAAATGGAAATGACACTTGTAAAGTATGACTATAAGAGATCCCCTTCAATGCAGTAACAACATCAGTCTATCAGATCCAGCAGCAGAAGAGTGCCCAAGAGTGCAGAACATAGAATGAAAAACGCTGATTACTGCAGTCTGGAGTGTTAGCTCAGTTCGTACAGAACTTGACCAGGAGACCATTGTTTTTCTTTGCTGCAATACCTGAGGTGTAGGAATTTATTGTTGAACCTCAGAAAACTGAAAAGAAATTATTTCAGATGTTCTGGAAATAAGACAGGATTGTGTCCATTTTTGGGTTTTGAGACCAAAACCTGTGGGTATTTCCTTCTCCCCGTGGCTGGTGTTTTAGGCATTGAGTAGTGCAAAACTCAGAATCTAATTACCAGTGCTGACTGATTCAAAGTCATCGCTCAAAATGATCTAGAAAACCAGACATTCAAGAAGCAGAGACTAGGTTTTTTATATCTTAAGCTACAGCATATAGGAGTTTCTTTAAACTCTGTCAAAACAGATGTATGGTTCACATACAATTGTGTGAGTGTTTCCCTTTTGGAAAAAAATTTCAGCTCATTCTAAGTTCAGGTTCTAGCATAAATCATCAAGGCAGTCAAATCACAAATTGCTGTTCACATCCTCAGAGGTACAAATGTACCCTAAATTAACATCTGGCATAGTATCATTTCTCATGCAGATTCCACTTACATTGTCACTTTTCCTACTATGACACGTTTACTAATGTTCTGACTATGAGTCCTGCATCCTCTTAGAAAAAGATGATACATTTCACAAAACGAAACTGTCTATTAACATGGCATATACCATAGATTGGAGATTAGGCATATGCTCCTGATTATTGTTACTTTGTTTATTTTTTGGCAGTGTAATTTAGTCACTAAAACTTGGTACAAGAGTCTTTATGTTCTCTTTTCATTTTGTTGCCAGTTTGTTATTCCACACTTTCCATAGAAAAACTCACAGTAAATTCAACATAATGAACACCATGGTGCCCTGCAAGACTTTTAAGATGGAAGGTGAGTTGTTATTTCCCTGTACTACCAGGATCAATTGCTTTGTCAACACCACGCAGCCAAATCTGGGGACAAACCAGGGGAAAAATGCAGTGAAACTAGGATCAAGTGAACTGAGTTTTCTTGCATTTCAGAGATTCACCCAGTTGTTAAAGCAGAGTATTTCCAGAAGGAGAGAAACAGCTTTACTGCTAATCTGTATGGCTGAAGCAAAGTACTCTCTTCTATCTTCTAAAAGGTCATGTAAATTTCCCAGATTAAAATTAGAGTTGGCTGTACTTTTGCTTGGCTGAGGATTTTTTTTAAGATGGAAAATCAGGTTTGGAATTATTAAAAATTCTATAGATTTGTAATATTTGGCTGGGATTAATCTATTAAATAATTCTGGCTTCTCTCCCAAATAATGGTGGAAAGTCAAAACCATCTTAATTCTGCAAATCAAAAATATTATTTAGTTCAGAATTTACTTCAGCATCTATTTTTTTTTTACTTGCAAATGAAACAATCAGAAAAATATAATGAATAAAGTATTATTTTGTTGGGGTATTCTTTCTCAGACTTTTCAATTAGGCACGCATGTTGTATGTCTCTTGTAGCCACTGAAGCAGTGTTTTTTTCTTAAAACTGCAATCAAATGGCAAGATAAATTACTTGTCCAGACAACTTAATATATGTCACTCTCACAGTAGCTCTTTACCCTGGATGTATTCATTGTGACGCAGTTTTATCTCACTGCCACTGTCTGGATTTTTTTAAGCCTAGCAGTGTGAAAGTAGAAAGTGTGAAGGAAAGATTTTGAGGTGCCCAGTTTTACCTCACATACTGCCCTTTTCTATTTTAGGACCAGAAGATTTGACTTCAAAGATGTGTTGCACTGTATGCAGTCCATTACTTCTGTAGACATGTGTGCTAAGGAAGAGTCTTTTCTGAGTTCTTCTAGCCAACTCTCAGAACTAAGAATGCAGACTGATACCTGAAATGTAAGAGGATAAGAAACTTTCATCAGAAACACCGAACTAGCTATTCTTGATGAGGTTCACCTGCCCAGAGGGCCCATCAGAGATTGCAGTGGGTTAATATCCCAGTTTAGTAAATGTATTCAAGGCATAAGGACAAACTGCCACCAGACTGAAGAGGTATTTAATTTGGGATAGCTGAGAATAGCTGGATGGAGACTCCGGAGCAAACATACGCAACTATCCCTTGTCTCAGTTCATCAGTACCTAGCTGTATTTCTTTTGAGAAAAAGAAGTTTTAGTATCCCTCTGATACTGACAAAGCTGGTGTAGCATGAATCAGAGCATCAAAAAGTGCTCACTAATGATAGGTCTGAATCTGTTTGCTCTAGGCCTTTGATGGATAGCATCTAATTCATCCAGCCAATTACTCAAGTGAAAGGATCCTTTCATAAGCTCTTTTGCAGGCTTCTTGGCAAAACAAATAGCACCTCTTAAATATGTTCTTCCATCCAGTAACTCTAATTGGTTGATTTAAATAAAATTAATTTTTGTATGCTACTGAACACCAGTTTTTTAGAGGGAGTTTTTACATTAGCCCCTCTTTGGGTCCTGTAAAAGAAGAATTCTTGTAGGATAATTAAAAATGTGTTGTACACTATAAATAACTTAGCTGGATGGCACAATAAACCATAAACTACTAGACTGGCTTTGCATTTATAATGCAATAGCATTCTGTTGCTTTTGTTACAAATCTAATCTAGAGATATACCCTGTGTCATGGAGCAGTGGATTCTGGAAAGGCTACAGAATTCTAATGTTCAATTTCTCCTTTAATAAATCTTCTCAGTAAGACTCCTGGTGTGGGTGAGAGAGGAGAAAAGCATGCACAGAACAAGGCATGCAATAATATGTCATGTTATTGACAGTAAAAGGCCTGACCATTACAAACATTTTATCACCCTGTCTGCAGCACGTGCTTTCTTTCTGTGTGGTGCTAGGAATGCTTAAATCACACCAATATCACTTCTGTGCTCCATAATCATCATCCACGATAATTCTGCAATACACAGCAGACTCTCTCCCTTTGTGTAACCCCAGAGAAATGTATTTCTGGTTCATTTAATGAAAACAGTGAAGACAGAGAAGTCGACCCAGGCATAAAAGCCCTCAGGACACGAAGAGGGTGATGTGCACACATTCCTTCTTTTCTGCACTTTAATTTGATCACTAAAATAGCCATCACAACGGAGTCCATATGCTAATAAAGCCAACATCTGTTGAGGTCTTTGGACCACATCCTGGGAGGTATATGAGACTGTGATTTCTCATAAACAAAGCCAGGGTGAGATCCAGTACATTGTGTCTGCATAGTGGCAGCCCTCTGAGGCTGTGCTATGTATGCAGGATGGTGATGTGCAATGCAAAGCTGTGCTGGGGGAACACACTGGCTTCCTCACATCCTATACTGTCCCCACACATCTGCGCCCCAGCATGAACCAAGACAAACAGCTCCACAGCTATGAGGAAACAGGAGACCTGTCATGGAGCTGCTGGAAAAGTGATACCTGCATGTGGGAAATGTATTAAAATCTTTCATTCTCTGGTATTAATATGACATTACTGATACTGTCTAGAGACACTTCTCAGAGGTGCTCCCTAGAAAAACTCTGCCATCCAAGAGCACCTAATATCTTGGTTTTTTGTCTCTAATGTCTGATAATGTGAGGAGGAGAATGCCTTGTGCCCAGCTCTCAGCAGCAACGAGTTATCTCTACTCCCTGTCTATAAGCAGCTTGAAGTCCTGCATTAATTGCTATCACCTTCCAATTCCCTGCTGCAATTCAGACTCAGGTAAACAGAAATAAAAACATGACTCGTGTCAGAGCTGGCTGTGGCTGTTGTCATCAAGATTTTCAATAGGTCGTGCATGGCCTGAAGTCAAGTATAGTACCAAGATCCCTTATTCTGCAATGAACTTACAAAGCTTTCTTTCAGGTTCATGCTGCAAAATTCAAGAACTGGTGAAAGTTTATGAGATTTGATTTTCCATCCTGTTCACCAGCTCACAAGTGATGTCTCTTTCCCTTGTTTCTAGGCTCAGTCCCTGATCCTCCTTCCCTCTGTGACAGCATTTTCATGGGACTTTCTCCTGTCTACAAGATCTAGAGCACAGCACATTTCACACTAACATAAAGAAAAACCATACAGACATTTTTATAAGTGATTTAAAAAAAAAAAATGTTTCTTTAAAAAACCTCTCACAATGCTCATGATCACTTTGTTTCTCTTCAGCTTAATGAATGCTAGCAAAATTCCATACAATTGACCTATACAGGTCTTTAAAGGAGCTAATCCCCATTAGTAGACCACTTCTGTCCTACCTCCATAACAAACATTAACATATCACCTGCCCTGGGAAATGCTAGACCTACAAAACCAAAATTCTGTCTCTTAGTTTCTCATCTATGCTAGGGATGCATGCTATCTTAGTGTAGTCACAGAGCAGGGATTTTAGAAGCAGAGAATGAGGAACTGAGTGAAATCAGCAGCTAGAATTTGTTTTCCTGCGAAAGCAAGAAAAGGAAAGGATGGGAAAATCTTTCCCAAAACAGCTATCTAAAATCTGTGCTGAATCTGTAGCTCAAAGCCGGCTTTGCCTAGATTTGTCTCCAGTATAGATATGGCTTGCTTCTATTACAAATACAGGGCAATGTCAACAACATTGCTATTACCATACATAGCAATGAGACAAAAGACAGCTTGAACTGTGTTGAACAAATGTATCTTCTTTGGATATCCTCTGACAGCCATGCCTGTACTGAGGAGCTCTAGCTAGGACAAACAGAAAAACAAAGCATGAGTTGATTTTATCTTCTTGACAAAATTCTCCTTGAGTTTTACCATAAACAGAAAAGTAAGGTAACTGGACTGCTCATTGGGATGAGAAGTCTTGATATGGTCAGCATATGAGCAAGTGTTGTACAGGTCAAAACCAGCTAACAAACTATGTGTCTTTTTTCTGCCCCTGTCTTCTAGAAAATGACAGAAATATCTGGGAATTTAGTGTTGCTTCTCCTTTCACAACTACTCCTTTTATATGAGGCTATTTTGATTATCTCTAGAATGCTTCCCCTTAATTTGCTCTTTTTTGGGACAGAAACAACTATAGCCTCATGCTTTAAGCCACAGTTCACCTGAATTAATTGTTATAGAAAGGGGCAGGTTGCACATGCATAAAAAACAATCAGGTGCTTTAGCTGCACCAATTGCTTCAGCTGCATTTTTTATCCAAGGAGTGAAAGGCTTCAGGAGTTTTTAGTGGCCATTCTCTGTGCCCATCTGATGCAATACCACAGCTGTATTTCACAGAGCTGATTAAAATCATGGTATTGCTGTTAGGATTCTCCTGCTAGCTGCATAGCAGCACACTTTAAATGTCTGTCCTTTTAAGCAAGAAAATTAAACACTGAATTTTCTCATCAGAGAGTTTCTATGAACTCCTCTCCCGCCCCGCTGTTCCCCAGTTATACACAGTAGGGAAGGTCTCTGGTTTATAATAATCCTTTATAACACTCACAATCTGTTCTTTGAAGTGTGACAGAAGAGTTGTACATGGCTATTCATCAACAGTGTAGCGATTCCATAAGGTATCACCAGATGTTAAACACAAGTGCTCTACAGGTGAATGCACAAAAAAAGAAGTTAATGGGCTCAAATACCATGTATTGCAAGGGTTTAATCCAACACACTTGTGCTCTCAAACGGTTGAAAGAAACCTCTGGACAGGAGCAAGCTGCAGTTCAAATAAACTTTTATCCCTGTGCAGTAGTGGTAGAGGTATGTTTGATAGGTATTCTATCAAATCCACAGTGTGAGGCATTTTAGCCCAAACTACTTGAGCAGCAAATAAAACTTCTATGTCCATACATCATGTATGCATGTGTAAATAGGGGCACCTGACTGTACAATTTGCTTTGCTTTACAATTAGACCATACACCATTTCTTCAAGTCTGTTATGCCACTGAGTGTATATGTGCATGGGATGCATATTTACATTTCATCAAAGCTTTTCAGACATCATTGTCCAAAACATCTTTGTCCAAAACATGTTGACAAATATGGCAAATAACAGCTATCTCAGTGGTTATTATGTCTGCCTGGTGCTCTTCCCCTCCACCCTGGTTATCTTGTTAAAGGGCCTGTACAGGAGCCTAGCCTTCATTTCACCCGCAATGGCAAAAACTGCATGCACAACAAGCAGCAGGCTGAAGAATTATGTTCATGCCTTGACCCTGAGACTTCCTGAACCAGTTTGGATTGGCTCTCCCTTTGAAACTGCTGGCTTCCACAGGAAGTTCATAAATGGGCCCAAGTCACAGCAATTGACGTAGTCCCAATATTTTTAACTCAGTTCTTCAAGAACTACCTAAAATGGGTGGTGTTTCATGGACACAAAGAACTGGCTGGCTTTTTCAAAAGCAAATGTCAGTGTGCTGGGTAAAATGCAAAGCATTGAAAGCAAGCAAGTAACGTAGCTTTTGCTGCTCTGGGGATGTGATGGTGTGTGTTGTGAAGCTGCATTGCACTCCACCACATCCCTGTGTCAGCACCCACTGCAGCTCCCAACACTGCAGGCAGCCATTGTATCCAAAGAGCTAAACCACAGGCCTGTGTTCCACATCCCTCAGTTTCAGGTGTGCTTGGATCCACTGCTTAAGCCTTGATGCAATCTCTCTTCCTATTTCCTATTCACTCCCCCACATTGTTGGTGTCTTAGAAATGATTTGCAAGACTCATTCAGAGATGTTAAAGTTCTTTTACTCCCTAAGTCTAAAATACCCTAAGAAGAGTTTGTGAAATGCCCATGGTTTGTTCCATCCACAATGACAAGAAAGACATCCAGAAAAAAAAAATGTTGCAAAGAAATACAAGTATTAAATCTTTTGGAGAATGATGGATGCAAACGGGCATGAAAACCTTACCTCTAAGATTTTTATCTTTTTCACACAGCTCTAACAAAATGCAAGTGCATTAAAGACATTTCTTTTCATTAATTTTCTTTGCACTTTGTTTTCTCATTACCTGTTAAACAGGAATTTAATGGAAAACATGTTTTTTATTTACATCTCTGCATTGTACAGATTGTACACTATAATTTGACAACAGGTTCAAATTCAAAGGTGTTGAGTGCATTGCTCCTATGTTCCTACAAAAAAGACATTTTCTTGTTTGCAAATAACCTAATGGAATGGGATGAAAGATTGTTATTAATGTTAGCAGTGCGTATGATTTCAAAACTATTTAATTAATTTATAAGTTAGCAGCTTTGTCCAAGGGCCATGATAGCCCTTACAGCAACTTCTGAAATTCACTGTCTAGTCTGATTAGTTCATGATTTGGGATTTTCTGGTCTATACTTAACTGACGTACTTTGAAACATAAACGATGTGTATATTATTGTTTGGAGAAATTGACAGGAATTAAAAAAAGAAGCAGAGCCCCTTCTAGCAAATAGGCTCTCATTCAGTCAAGAAGTCAGAAACCTTTCTTACTGAAGAACAAAGCAAGCTCTCCCCATTTCCCCTTCCAGCCACAAAAATTAGTCCCACTGGATAAACCAAATATTTTTGAATATTCTTTGGTTTCTGCTTGCAAATCCAAGGCTCCAGATCCAGTATTCATTTACAAGGTACGGAGTTAATTTGATGTCTTTATTTTTTTTTTATTTTTATTTTTTCACTGATAAAGGCTTATCTTGTTTTCTTCCAATCTCTCTTGTAAGCATTTCCTGAGAGGGGTGTAAGTCAGCCAACATAGAAAATCTGCCTATGATACCTAGCAGGGAAGGCCTTGCTCGTTTGGCCAAGGCTAGCAGGTCTTACATAATAATTTATTACAGTACCTTTCTGTTTCCTGGTCTGTGATTTGCTGCTTGTTCTCAAAGCCAGTGAAGCTGCTCATATCCACATAGCCATCGTTCTCATTAGCAGCAGATAATGCTCTGCTGGGATCTTCAAAAAACTCGGTAAAAGTTCCTGCTCTGGTGGATCTCCGAGGAGGAATTTGTATGTTTTCATAGTCTGAGCTCATAGCAGGAATGTTCTCATAGTCAGAAGTGTCGGCATTGGGAAAAGAAATAGACCTAGGTTTCGTTAATGGGAGTGGCATGAAAGGAGGTCTGGACCGGTCCTCAAAGGACTCCACCCTTGACACACTCCTGCTGAAGGACTTGGGCGTTCCTTTTTTTTTACCATCCTTATAGAAAAGAACAGCCGAGGGAGACTCAGATGCACGGAGCGTCCCCACATGTGATTTTAACTGAGGTGAGCTACTTAGGCTCCTCCCTTCCAGCTCCATCAGCCTGGGAGGCCCATGATAGCTGGACTCCGATGAGGACCTGGAAGAACAAACATTAACATCTACATGGACTTTACTTTCACTTTTCTTCTTGAACTTTAGAGTAAGGAACCTCTTAAAAGAAGATTTCTTTTTCTTGGAATACTTAGCAGGTGAGTCATTCTCTATCAAAAGTGAAGGTGAACTTTTAGTGATTGGCTTTTTGGTGATGTAGGCAAGTTCAAATGGAGGTGGTATATCAACAGCTGAGGATGGAGTAGATACGCCACATGATGAGAGATGATTTTGCTGGGAAAAACTACCTGAGGAACCATTGACACAAGGCAAAGACAAATTGTCTTCTGTCCTTTTCATTCTGACACCATCCAGTACACAGACATCACTTTCTCTGTAAACAGAGATAGGTAACTCTCTCCCTTCAACAGAATAAGATCGAGGATATAAAATAAAGCGTCTTGACTTGGTTGGTAAAGCCCTATTGGCTTCCACTGGTTTTTCTTCCAATGAAAAGGAATTATTGCTTAAGTCTTCTGTCCCAGAGCCATTTTGGGAAGACAGCAAATCAGTTTCAGGTCCAGTTTCTTCTGGAACAGTTTCTGGGACATAGCCTGGAATTCTCCCAGAGAGAGATCGTGTTCTAGTGACAATACTTTTACAATCAATGGGCAGCAAGTTGTTTTCACCATCCATGCCTAATTCACCCCTTTTACTGTGATCAGCTCCTAACTCAGTGTGCGCATCATGGACAATTTCATTTTCTTCAGGAAGCACATAAGGATCATCTAGGGAATCACTGCTAGTTTCTCTTTCCTCTGATTCATCAGTCACAATGACCACTTCAGGGACTGCTAGATTTTCATGCAAAACATGTTTGGTCCCACAATCTACATTAATTTTGCTATGCTTACAGATTTCTATGTCTTCCTCACATGGGACCTCTTGAGGTGAACTTGGGATACTTTTGCTGAGGCTGTTTGCTTCCACCTCATTGTCTTTGAGATGCAATTCATCTGATTTAGAGGCTTCTACAGTATTTTCATTATGCTCTTCAATAGTCCCATCTTCCATCTCTGGCTTTATCCCTAGACTACAAGGTAGACTATCAGAAATCATGCCATCTTCATGCAGAGAGGCCCCTTCTGTTTGAAGATTCTCATCTGAATGTTCCACGGGTATTTCCTCACCACATTCCTTCTCACAAGGTGCAATCTGACAGCCATCCTCCATATTCTCTGCATTCACAATTTCTTCTTCCCCTTTCTCAGAGTCTTTGCTTGCTTCACAGGCTACCTCTGATGTTGTCTTGCTTCTCCTCTCAGTGATCTGGCAGCCATCACTGGCATTTCCTGTGTTTGTATTATAGTGCTCATTTGGGTCTACTTCCTCCTCTTCAGCTGCTGCTTGATGCATGAACTCTGCTAAATCATTTTTGGCACCGGGTTCATCTTCACACAATTCTAAGCCAGGACTCGTTTCTTCACTGGCTTCCTCAGGCAGCATGTCAGGGCTTGCACAGTCATTATTTTCTAAGTCCCTTTCCATGTTTGAGTCAAGCTCTGCATGCACACTGTGGTCATCATTATGTGGTAGATGCACATCTGCCATTTCTAAAATCTCAGGCTGCTCCTCCTCCTCTTGCCCTGTCTTCTCACAAGCTGGGATTGATTCGTCTGCAGGCAGTGGCATTGCAATGATATCTCTACAAGTATCACCCATTAGTTTCTCATCTCTATTCAAAATGTCATCACTGTCAGTCTCACAATCACTACTGTTCTTGACCAGTTCCAGCATATAAGAAGTTTCTTGCCTGTTTTTTGTTTCAGTACAATCACGTACAGCATCCTCATCTTCACCTGCTTTCTTGGTAGCATCATTATCCCCATCTGGGGCATCTAAGGACTCCTCACAAAGTGCTTTGGACTGGTCACAGTCTCTGGATGACTCCTCACAATCTGGTTCCCCTGGTTCAGCAGTATCTGAAGAGGTACAGTGCTCATCTTTGATGACTTCTCGATTACTGGTATTCTGATCACTAGCAATGTTATCCTCTTCCTTCTCTACCTTTTCTGGAGTTTCTGAGACTTCATTTTCCACGGAGGAATCTAGGTTTTGGTCATATTCATGTTCCAAATCATTGCAGTCTTTGCTGGGCAGCTGAGCTTCAGGAACTACAATGTATTCATTATCTGCCTCAGATTCTAGGCAATTAGCATTGCATTGGTTTCCTTCACAGAATTCTCCATCAAGACACACCAGTTTCCCATTTGCACATTTATTTAAGTTATTGTTGGTAGAAACACTGGATTTTCCCTCAGTGTCAGCTGAGAATTTTGGCTTGGGAGCAATTGGTGGCTTGGGACCCCTAGACCCAGAGTTCGGGTTATGAAGAATATCAGCTCTTGGCAGTGAAGGTGAAAATTTAGAGACAGGTGCTGGAGAAAGATGACCAATGATCTTTGGTTTCGGTGCTAATGGTGGTTTTGAGATTTCTGGAGAAAAGAGACAAAAGTCATTTTAGTCATCTTGGTTTCCTATTAAAGCCAGCAGAATATACCCTGAAATATCAGTGACTTGTAATGCAGAAGTAGCCCAGTTTTTCTCTGAAAAGAGAACTGAAGGAGCAAAGCATATGGACTGTCCTTCCATGCAGCACTGTAGCTATTCCAGTGAGCATAGTCTAAGGTCAAAACTGAACTGAACTAGATGCTTTCTAGTGGTAGTACGGACACATATGTAGGGGAAATCAAGCAGACTGGCAATAAACTAGATTGAAGCTACGTGAATTAAATCATATCTATATCACCATTTTACTCACAGTAGTTTGCCTGCCACAACCATTTCCAGCTGTCTTGGTCCTGAAATTCATATTCTTCAACAACTAAATGAAATGCTGAAATACTGCATAGGTAGGCAGCAAAAGGGATCCTCCCTTATGAGTTTTTTTATGGGATGAAATATGTAGTGTGAAGAAGCCAGCCTAATAAATGGTTATAGATAGTAAGAAGCAGGGAGAAGTGGTTTCCTCCTATTGCTGTTTCATACCCATCAATAGATACATTACATAGTTAAGCAACCAGAAATCTCTAATTATTTTTATAATTTTAATTTACACATTGTGTTGGAAAAAGCAAAGGAATTGTAAGGAATTGTGCAGGACAAACTATTTCATTATGACAAAGACAGAAACAATTCTTTGTGCACAATCTTCATGCCCTACTCACAAGAAATAACAGAACAGCATCTCAAAAGACAAAAAGTTGGGACACTGTTCCTACATAAAATCCTATCCAAAATCATGGTATAAGTTTCAGAAAGTGTAGCTACTGTGCTGTTGTATTTAGAGTATTTTGAAATGCAGACTTTAGATATGCAGAAGTGCAGACAGAACTGAGCTGTGCACTGTACTGAGAACAAAAGAATACTAAACGTAAACTGCTTGAAAAAGATTTTCTGATTGTCCTGATATTTGGTGGCATGGCACTTTTCTTATTGTTATCCTAGTATAATTGGAGTAATTTTTACTGAACTACTACTGGCCTATTTGTTTGGTTAGACTCTGGGGGGACATAAAAGGCTGTTTCTTCTGATCTTCTTAACCTTCCTGAAATTTCTTCTGGTACTCAGAAAGAAGCCGACGATTTGGCATTCTGATGTAAACAGAATACAGTTTTCTAGAGTTATGAGACACTAGACATATTTCATCTAAGTTAAAATCTGAATCAGTGATCTCAGCCCAGAAGGAATGAAAAGTCTGTTCTATACCGCTTAAGGATTGTTCTGTATCTGGAGTTTTATCCAATCTGGCTGCATGTGGGAGACTTAACTCATGAAAAGGGATGGAGAGGGAACTATATTCACCAGTCCGCAGTTACTGCAGTTTCACAGTATCCACTGCGGTTTTAGGCTGCTGCATGTCTGTCTAATCACAGATTGGGTAACTCATCTTTCCCGCCCCATTAAGTCCTTCGGCCTCCTTTTCATGTCCCCCCGTCCCCTGTCCCCCACCCCCCCGCCTTGGGTTCCCACTCCCTTTCCACCACCCGTGGTCCCCCTAAAGAAAATTTATGTGGCAAACATTCCACCTTTGCTGAAGTAACATTGCTCCTTTTGCAGGCAGCAGTTGAAGGCTTCAGAGTACTGACTTTTGCCAGCTAGAAACAGGGAGGCAATAGAAGTGGGTTTAGTATCTCGTAAGCCTGACACCCCAGCAAGATCTACCTTTTGCGTTTTTAAATCAGTTATTGAAGTCACTGAACATCCTAAACTAACTTTCTGGTAGTAAAATGAATGAAATTTTTATTGGTTAAAACTGACTCTTTACACCTTTACCACCATGTTAAGACATTTTTAGAACTAACTCCAAGGAAAAAAAACCATCACTTTGGAGGTACTACACCACTTTCTGCAGTGCCTGGCCTTTCCTAAGAATGTATATCCAAGAGCAAGATACAAATACTAGTTTGTTCCTGGAATGTGACAAAACTTGAAATCTCTATATTCTCATCCTCGTTCTTTTCAGAGAGTGTCTGTGCTGAAACAGTGAATAATGAGAAAAAGACTGGACTTTAGAGAATGCCAGAACCTTCCAAGCTTTGTCTTATAAACAAATTTGAAATAAATTAATAACATGAACTCATTTCCTTTAAGTAAAATAACCATGGAGACAACCACTTAAAAGAAAAACAGCTTAAACAGTTACCCACCTTCCTTCCGCTGATAATTTTCTACAGCTAAAGGATCAAATAATCCTGAGTTTTTCCTTCTGCTACCCTCTGGTCTACTGCCGTTGGAAGAGAACTTATAGTAATGGACCCTGTTCAGACTCTGGTAATAGGCATTGTCATGTCCTTCTCTTACACACTTGTGCCAGCTACTGGTCACTACTGTCTCCTTGCATAGCTCTTTTCCTAACTGCTCTGTTTGTGGATCTTGCCTTTCATGAGGCTCCTTAAACAATTTTTCTTTTTCTTTGGTGGGGGTATAAGGAAGAGGCAGCAGGAGGAGTACAAGTGTTTGTTTAAAAAATAACCCAAAAGAAAGAACAGCTTCTTGCTTTTTATCTCAATTTCATTCTGCCTCAATTTCTGCTTCCTTTGCTATCTGAGCCACTTGAAAGATTCCTGGCTGTAACTTCTAAAAGGACACAATGCAACATTGCACCGTAAGTAATGTGTATGTTCACAAATAATTGTGCATGTTTATTTTAGGATGTATTTTATATTGGAGAGAGACACACCCACCTCATGCTTAAAAGGAAACTCTTGGGGAATACAAATTCCTTTAGACTGCTCCTCCCCTTATTGTTCAGTGCTTCCTTGTACTGACAAGGACCGCTTCCTCTCCTTACCCACCTTCCTTCAGGCAACCCTGCATAGTTCTGTTCCTGCCATGATCCATATGAAATTACATTACATTAGTCTCGTCCTGTCCAAGTTTCTAAGCAGTCAACAGTAGTCTAGCAGCTCACCTGGAATTGATCTCCTGGAATAGCAATCAGCCCACACAGCCTTCACTGTTCAAGTGTTTCTTGGAAACAATATACATTTTGTAGTGTGGTATTACCAGAAACACTGCAACTACCCACTTTCAAATGTTTTCAAATTCAGGATTTCAAATTTAGCCTAGAATTTAAATAAGGCTTATAAGGGACCATACCTACAAAAACACCACCGACAAGAACTAACTAAACACTGAAGCTTCACATTTGCCTGGATATATGTAGACATGTCCCAGGGCCACAGTCTTTGCTAGTGCTTCAAGAAAGTACATAGCTCCACAGTGCCAATACTCCAGCCTTGGCTGATGCTGCAATGCGGTTCAGGCCTCTTTTAAGATGCTGAAAGTAGCTTTTTCTGACCAATGAACTTTTGTGGACCTGTTTCCTTTAGGCCTTTGGCAATAATTCAACTCAGACATGTTAAAATGGGAAAGGCACTGAGGACAGAGGGCAGAATTGCATTGTTCAGGGATTTGCAGAGCTTTTGGGTAGAAGGGACGGGGCAGGTGAAGGGACAATTCTACAACAGCGGGGTGGGACTGCACCAAACCCAGAATCCTGGTAGAAACCAAGTCTTGTCTGCCACTGATTCTGCCCAGGAAGAAGGGATTGAGATCCACAGATGGAACGTGTCTGAGAAACAGGAAGTAGAGCGAGACTATCCAAACGAGGACATCAGAAAGTCTTGTTCAGCTCTGATTAGGATCTTTATAATTTCACATAGCTATAACAGAATGAAGTTAAAACTGATTTTCTAGAAGGTTTTGGTCTAAAGTCAGCAAAAGGTAGACTATACACCTTATTTAATCCTGTAATTAATTGTTCATTTAAAAAATGAAGCCCTTATCTCCAGTTAGTGCTGTCTTGCTTCTATCTCCAGCATTTATTATTGTTTCTTCCATATCATTAATTGTGCAATATTTGGTGCAGAAATAGTTCTCTTTGTTTTACAGCATATAAGTGCGTCACTTACTTCACACTACTCGAGAAAAGCCTGAGATGACAAAAATTATATAAGAAGTGGAAACAGTTGCATGGGAGTCACTTGAAATGGAAAAGATACTCAGACTAGGATTTTCAAACTATGTAGGAGTGCAAGTCTTCCTTTCAGTTGGGATTTCAGTCCAGATTCAGGTACCAGTTTGACCTGAACAGGTATTAGATACTTACATGGCTTTTGAGAATTTGGACTTCAGGAACTTGAAATGCAAGGTCCTGGTCAAAATCAGCAGGCCTTTAAATGCCTCTGAAATTTATGAAAATGGTATTTCATGTTCTTCATAAGTCTGATACTTTTGAGAAACATCTATCCTCTCTTATCAGTATTTGTTCTTGTGACCGAAGGTACTCTGTAGATAGCAAGAGGGCTCCCCAGTGTGAAGACAGACCTATAGTCTGTAGTAAGTGTCCCAACAATTCCCATTTAAATTTTATCATCTTAAAAGTCATGACTGCATTATTAACAGCTGGGCTGTCAAAGCACGCCCCACTCTGCAGAACTAAAATGCTACTATGTACAGTTACAGGAATACATCCTCTATGATTAGATCAATGCATTATGACTCTGGGATATCAGATCAACACCTTATAAATTTCTGTTTCTATATAGCTTTATTGCAGTCATCTGTAAATATAACACAACAGCATAATATCCCACAGTGAAATTCTGCTGGAGAAGGGGAAAAAATCAAAAGGCAATAAAATCAGGAAGGGCTATGTTTCAGTACCAAGAACATCAAGATCCTAAAAATTCTCCCATGTTTTCACTGTCTCTAGTATACTGTACACAGAAGTCTTGCTAGTGGGCTCAGCTATGAAAAATCACATGTACATGACAAAAAATCTTGGTTCTAAACTACTACTATATGTTTCTTTTTAATGTAATTATAAGTGCAATGTTACCAGTTTGGCTCTGTTTTCACAACAGTAACTTAACACTGACACAGACAACGTGTTGTTTTATGTATTGCTTCCTAGGAGCCAAAGAAGATGGTTAAAATTCTCTGACAGGTCCATGTAGCACCTTTTCCTATATCACTTTCAGTAGCAGCTGAAAGAATGTACGGTTTGCTTATATCTCTGAACAACCTGGAATCTAATGTCTGTACATTTTTCTTATGGGCAGCATCATTTCAGCACCTGGCAAAAAATTCCTAGAGGCTGGAAGGTCCTACACATGAGGCTGGTCTAGACTCTTGTCTCTTACCACAAATTTTCTGTGACCTTGGGTGGATTGCTTCATCTCTTTTTTCATATCAGTTCTGCATCTCTGAGGATAATCCGTATCTCCCTTCCTGTCCTCTCTCTGTCGTTATTTTAACTTCTGTGGGATTAAGGCTGCCATATACGCCTGCACATATGACTCTGCTTACAGGTGCTATGCATTACTTACTATAATACAAAGATAGCTAATGCTGGTACCCAAGTTGTACCAGTTAATAAATATCCCTCTCCTTCAGATTCAATAGGAAGTTCTGCTTTGCACTGATGGGGGAGACATTCCTCACATTGTGCAAACATACAAAAAAAACAAAGGCTGAGAAGGGATATGAGCACTCTATAAATACAACCTGGAGGTAAACACCAGAAGAGGAAAAGAACTATTTTTAAGCAAAGGGACAATATAATCACAAGAATAAATGGTGTTGAATCTGGTCTGGAAACCAAGAGTAGCAGGAGAGCTACCTGAAAATTTTTGTTTAGGATATAATTGGAGGAATTAATAAAAGCAGTAGTAACAATGGGTGCCGCTTTTGATAATGAAGGCAGTCCCATTTGGTCCTACGTTCCTGAAAAATAAAAACTTCTAATAAAGTTTAAGTCTTTACAAATGGATACATCCTTACCCTGTACTTCCACTGACAACAGGAGTAGATTAGAGCTGGTCTATTTTAAATAATGGAGAGATGAAGAAAGAGAAGTAGGAGCACCATTGCTAAAGTTATTTTTGGCTGGCTTCATTTTCAAATGAGTTTGAAGGTGAGTTTGAACTCTGGGAGGGACAGAACCCAGTCCGGGCCAGGATCAGAAAATAGAATGGAAATACAACCAGATTTTAGGAAAGTGTCTCACTCCCTACTCCAAAAGGAAAGAGAACCTTTTTACTTTAAACTCAGAGGAGTGGTATGACACACTGATACAACAGTGGAGTGCTGGGTTTGACCTAGAAGAGCTTTTCCAATCCTATGTATCATTGCTTTGGCAAACAATGATTTACAGTTTCCCAACACAGAGCAGTTGTAGGGCAAGGTATCTAGCGGTAAAATCTCTGGGCTTCAGGATATACCCATACATTGCAAGTGAGGTGCCCAATAATATTCACCTGGAACAAGGAAACACAATGGAAAATTTTAGGGCTAACAAAAAAGAGCTGTTGCTCTTCATCCTTAATTCCAGAAGCAGCTTTAAATTTTTCTAAATAACTCCACTTAGCAATAATTATTTCCTGTATTGTTGTTTTTCACATACATGCCTCATCCCTGAAAATCAGAAAGTCTTGGTGAACAGTTTAAAGTTTGCCCCAAATTTCCAGTGGCTTCTTTTTATGTTTTAACTGTTGAACGCCTTGTTCCCTTATTCTGCCTCTTTCACCTCCCCAGTTTTCATCAAGGAAAAATTCTGCAAAGTTAACAGAAAGGAGGAGGAAGAATTTGGGTTTGCCGTAGTGAGCAAATTCTGCAAAAAACATTACCTTTCCCTAGAAATATACTCTTGGAAAGAAAGTCACAGCAAATTCCCTAGAAAAATCGTTAACGGTTTCATGTACCCGAGGTAGTAGTGAGCGCACATCCGTGTCCCTTAGCAAGCACAGCCTTGCCAGTTTGCCAGCCTGGTTGTCCCCGGAGCACCTAACCTCGCCCGCCCTTGATCCCTTACCGGCTGGTCAGGCAATGGGGCACTCAGCCTCGGGGAGCCATTGAGCACTCGCTGGACCGCGGGGAAAAGGAGGGCGGGCCCTGGACAGAGGGTGCCTGGGGGAGAGATGCTAGCCCCAGCGGCACGGCCCAGAATTCGCCGGCCCCGAAGGAGGGATGCCGGGACTAAGGTGGATGAGAGCCCCGGAGGAGCTGTGTCCGGGCAGGGGGTGCTATCCTGGGGATGGGATGCGCCGGCCCGAGGGAAGGAGGGTGCCGGAGGAAGGAAGCCCGCCCGGCGTTTGCCGGCCCCGGGAAAAAGATGTCCAGAAGCAGCGACCCTTCCCGGCGAGTCCGCGCGCTTACCGGCGTTGTTCATCTTCCACCCCAACTTCGCTCGCCGGCTGCTCCGGGCGCTCAGCGCATGGCCCCGGGG